ATTAATTTTCTGACCTATTTCCACCACCTGACAAAATTGTCACGTTTATAGAGATATTATTATTATTATTTACACGTGGCCGATGTATCGATCAAATTCTGGCCAGAAAAATCTCCTCACGGTGGCTTAAGACTTTTCTCAACGAAACAATAATTTGCAAAAATCAATGAGGTGGAAGGTCAATGAGGTAGAAGGTTAAAAATGAGGTGGGAGGTTAATACCAATACACGTTTCCCTCGCTCTGTGCGGGTTCTGTTTGTGCGATTTCGCGTAAACGCGGCTCACCTATTTCTACCCAAAACTCGCTATATGCGGTTTAAATTCACTCATGTGCGGCTATGCGCGGCTCCGTGGGACGTTTATTTGTGTAGCGTGTGGGCTGCTTGCCAGTCAGCTGTCCCATTGTGAGCCAGGTGACCGTGAGGTCCAAGCTACTCCATTTCGATTTGTGCGCTCCCCTTTTTCTTTTTTTGGAACGCATCCACTACCCGCGTCGAGCGAGGGAAACCTGTAAATGTGTGGCCCAACCCAAAACTAAATATGGATCATTGTACCGGATAACAAAACCCCGATGCAGGCTCTTTCAAGTTAACGTTGCTAAATTCAGAGCCAAAACCGTCACGCCAATGCGAACTTGAGAATCCGCGTTGCTTCACCGTAGCATTCTCAACAAAAGGGGGAGGTGGGGGGGCGGTCTCGAGGCTCGAAAGTGCTAGAGACTGAGCTGGCCACGCTAAAATCGTGGGATTCGAATCCAAATGTTGCAGCCGCCTGTCATTAAACCATCCAGGGTTTTTTTTTGTTTGCTTAGAAAGTTTACAAGCGGTCTATGTCCGTTCACCAATGCCTGCACACGCACGTCGAATAGTATCACATTTGATTCCTGACTTTAATATGCATGGCCCACACTCCACCTCTGAGAGTTGAAATATAAGTTTGGCATTCATGTGATGAACATTTATCCCTGTAGCAGGGCGGGTGGCAAAGAGCTGTCCCCCATACTGTGTAGATAAGAGGTCACTTGGAGGGATCTCAGAAATAGTTCTGAGACATCTGCTTTCGCGACAGCCCTATCGGGTTAACGTCTTGGAAAGAGACAAAATAACAACACGATGCGAACGAAACCCCAATGACGAACGAGACGCCAAGCGAGATATCGCGGAAACGAGGGTGGCCGCGATATCTCACTGCACGATACGATATCGGCTGTGACGATATGACGATTATCGTCGTATCATTGTTCCAGAACGTTGCAAATGCATTCCGCATGTTCATTGTATCGTTCTTTTAGCGCGCTATGCTGCACTTCCCGTGTGAATGAAGATTCACTGAAGAGCCATTCAACTGCAGTACACTGAACATGGACCTGCCGTAAGTATTTCTGAATCACTGCAAGCTTACAACTTGTAGCGCTCGTGACGAACACGCTGTCAAAACAACGATGGAACTGGAAAGCCGTCACTAAGGAATTCCTGCTTTCTAAGTCTGCATTGGCACTTAACAAAACACTCAGCACATTCGGCAATAATACTGTCAGAAATGAATGTGTATTCATAAAAGGTGACGTATCATGCAATGGTCTTTCAGACAACGCTTCTATGCTTTGAAGGACCATGACGGGAAACGTTGCCTATTATATATTTTATAATCCCACCTTTGGTGCAGTGTATATGACGAAGTGTGTTTTTAAAAATGTCGTCACTTCATGCTGCACCGCTCGATCGTGTGCGCGTGTGTGGCTTAAACGCAGCGGAGGGCAGAGGAACGACGCTCACAACAACGAGCGGAGCGCCGGGTGGATAAACCGCAGCAGGTTGGCACAGTTGGGAGCACAGAGGGTGGCGGCGGCACCTGGCAATCATCTCAGTCCGTCCCGTGACCATCTCCTGCAGCAGCAGCAGCGAGCCTCGCGAGCGCCTCAATGTGCACCTAGCCTGGCACGAGCGCCGTGGCGACGTCACCGCCAATTCGTGGCTGTTGCTGTGTTGGGCGGGCGGGCGGGCGTGCGGTGATCCGAGTCGTCACAAGGGTACGCGTTGCGTTGTTGGTTACCGGCTTGGCTCGGGTATCACCACCTGAGGTCTATTTACAGCGCGTGGATGTAATGACGAGCCCGCGGGACAATGGAGAGACGGCGGCCTCAGCTCTCAGCGGAGTTCATTCACGCGCGAGGAGATGGCGTGAGCCGGGGGTTTCAACAACGGCAATGCCCGCCCCCCCACTCCCCAACTCTCTCACGTGCTCGCCTCGTGTTGCAATTGCCAGTGACTCAGCACCGTCATTGTTATCCATCGTCAATCGTGATCATTCATTATATATATTTTTTATCATCAGCATCCAGTTTTGTGTACATCATAATCGCCAAGAATTTTCATCATCGTCATCATCGTCTATTTGAAATGTTCACCATAATTATTATCCGTTATAATTTGAAATTGTAATTATCAACGTGAGCATAATTGACAGCTCCATAATCGTTACCTGTTATAGTTGTTATCTATTTCATTGTCAATCGTCATCATTGTCCATTATGATGCTCAACCATCAACATCATCAGTATTATCATCCATTATACAGTGCCGAGAAAAAAGCTTGTGAACCCCTATGGATGTTCACATATTTCGCATATTTCAAACCTAAAATGTTATTAGATCTTAATCTAAGTCCTAATAATAGACAAAGATAGCCTGATTAAAACAAATGACACAACACACGTGATACTCTTTCAACATTTAGTTACCCTCAACTGATTCTACATTCAATAACATGTGTGAAAAAGTGTGTGAACTTATTAGATTCAGTAACTGGTGACACCCCCTTGAGCAGCAGTGACTGCAACCAAGCGGTTCCTATTCTTGGTTCTTTCGGTAAAGTCACGTAGATATAAAATAAAAATAATAAATTTAAAATAATAAAAGCAAAAAAACCCACCATTTTATTATTTGTATTTTCTATCTATGTGACCTTACCGAAAGAACCAAGAATATGAATTACCTGCAGTCACGAAAGTTTTAACTAAAAAATGTAAGCGCTTCCTGTAACCGTTGCTGGTGAGTCTTTCTCGCATCGGATTTGAGGAATTTTGGCCCATTCCTCCTTACAGAACTCCTTCAACTCGGTAACATTTGAGAGTTGCCTTGCATGGACAGCTCACTTGAGGTTCTGTCGCAACATTTCCATCGGGTCGAGGTCCGGACTTTGAATAGGTCATTGCAAAATGTGGAAATTCTTCTTCTTCTAAAGCCATTCTGTTGAAAAAACTGCTTGTATGTTTAGGATTGTTATCTTGCTGCAAGACTCACAATCGCTCCAGCTTTAGCTCACAGGCAGATGGCCTGACGTTCTCCTCTAGAATCTTCTGATACAATGTGGAATTCATGTTTGTGTCAATGACGACAAGCCGTTCAGGTTCTGAGGCACAAAAGCAACCCCAAACCATCACATTCCCAATACCATGATTCACGGTTGGGATGAGGTTCTTGTGTTCGAAAGTAGTGTTCGGTTTTCGCCAAACACAACGTTAACATAACACCATTCTTGTTTTTCTGATAGTTGAGTCATGAACACTCACATTAGCCAAGGCGAGAGTGGCCTGCAGATCCTTGGATGTTTCTCTGGGATTCTTTGCGACTTCCCTGATGATTTTTCCGGTTTGTTCTTTTGGGAGGACGACCGCTCCTGGGTAGAGAGTGACTGTGGTCTCGAACTTTCTCCATTTGTAGACTATCTGTCTGATAGTGGATTGGTGAAGCCCCAAATCCTTGGAAATGGTATTGTAACCCTTTCTGGACTGATGAGCATCAATAACTATTTTTCTGAGGTCCTTAGAGATGTATTTCGATCATGGCATGACTTGTTTCCACACATCTCTATGATGAAGACCAAACTCGCAAAGTTTATGATCTTTATATAGGGTGGGGCCTCCCAAACTCAACCCTGAAGATCTACCTAATAATTTAAACACCTGATTCTAATTATTCCCTTAATTGAGCTAATTAAACCAGGTGTTCACTTACTTTTTCATATACTCTGAACCTTAATTACTCATTGTTTAATTCATGCACCATTTTGTTTCAAAAGACATGGAATTGGGTGATATAAACCTGGCGAAATGTTCTGGCTAAACCACCTCAATGTAAGACTATATTGGTTGCTCTACACCAACATTAGCCATACGAAGAAGACATATACCTATAGATCTACACAGAGACCTATAGATTCACACTGGGACCCAGAGACTCAAATAGTGACCCCTAGGCTCACCCATAGATCTACATGAAAGATACATCTTCATCGCAGCGATACGCCTCTCCGCTACTCCTGACGCAATCATTTAGCTCAACCACCTCGGTGTAAGTCAAATCGTTGTTGCTGTGCACCAGAGGTCGCCAAACAAAATAACAAGAAGAACCAATTTTTCTCGAATTCCTTTAAAAAAACCCCTCAATATTGCAACAGCCGCAATGCCACGTGGTGGTGGTGAATGCGAGACGGTGGTTGTCCTTAATAAACGACGTAACGAAGCAGTCCGTTAAAGAGCCGCACGCTGCTCCAGAGTTGCAAGTTGCCGACCTCCCTGCTCGACACCAACATCGCGGAATACGAAGAGGAATCGTTTTAATGAACGTCCAACAACCACCGTCGTGATGGTCGCTGATGGATAGAACACTTTCTCTTGCTTTGTATTGTTCCGCGCAACGTAACTGATGCCACCCCGTCTCACGGGATGCTGTCACTGCGCCTGATTCATCCCCTGCATTATCGTCGATGTTTACTCTGTGTGCGCGCGGTGCACCGTCCCCATAGAGCGCACTATTTGATTCCCCTACCCTCCTCCCCTTTGTCCTGTTCGCAAAAACGACAGAGTCAGCTCAGCCGTGGCCGCGCGTTTGCTCCGCCTTTTGTTCCTTCCTCGTCGCCGTCATTCCGAGCGCTCGCCGCTGTTCCGTCAATCGACGTTGGCCGTAGCTGGTTTCAACACCAATAACCCCCTCTCTCTCTGTCTCCTCCTTTCTACCCCACATCATCATCATCATCGCTACCAGCACCTGTCTTCACCTTACCCCACCCCACCCGCATTTCGTAATACGAACTCCCCGTGCAACGTCGACCATTAAGTCCTCAACCCAGCCCACTCGCCAACCCCTCGCCCCTAGCAGACACATCCCACCCCCGGCGCGTGTGTATATAAGTCGGGGCACTCGGTGTAGCCCGACTCAAGCAACGTCAGCTCCACCGTCAGCTGCACATCGCACGTGGCCCTCCTGCACACTCGCGCCAAGTGACCGCTGCCATGCTGCGCGGGTTCGTCGTTCTGCTGCTCCTCTGCGGATTCGCGTCCTGTGCTTCTCCGAAGGCGGGCGGTAAGGACTAAGGGGTCACCCAAGGCCGTAGCCATGGAGTCAACATTGGGGGGGACCAAAACTTCCAGGGGGTCTGGGGGGGTCCCCACCCAGAAAAAAAATCTAAATTTGAAAACGAATTTCCTGCCTAAAATTTTTAAAAATTCACTAACACGTGGAATGGACTTTTTTTTTACAATAATGTCTAATAGTGTATTGTATTACATTGCTCTGTTTTTACTTTTTTACCATTTCTTGTTTTATTGTATGCAATGTTTCAGATTAGGGATTAATAAAGTACAACCATAACCACAATCATACAAACAGAAATATATGCATTGAGATATATGAAGACAAGTCCAGATATTGTGGCCAAGGTTTAGCAAATTGTTCTTTTTATTTGCATAGCATAGCAATTATTACTTTATTTTTTATAGCAATATATTGGGGGGGGGGGGTACATTTTGAGCATATTTGAATATTGGAGGGGGGGGGGTTATGTGTCCCTCCCAATATATTATAATTACGGCCTTGGGGTCACCGACAGTCACGCACGCGCGCCCATACGTACACCCAGATACAAAGACGGAAGAATGCCCGTGCAGCCTCGCCGGACTGTTTGGGGCAGGTGCTGTTCACGGCGAGCACCTAGGAACACAACGAGAGGGTGGGGTGGTCAGCAACCGCGCCCGGTCGCCTTTGTCTCCCTAGCGGCGATGTTGACAGATCGCACCGGGTAACTCGTTTGAGGCTGAGTCGATCTAGAAGAGGCACTGGACCGGTTCAGCTATTCTATTATTAATCTCCACCAGTGTTAGCCGCGAAAAGAAAATTCAACCCAGGTGGCCGGGTTCGTAGCGGCTCGCTCGCGACACTTTCGCCAACAGTATTGGAAGGCTACGCGAGAGAGAATTGTTTCGTGGATCGATCGTGAGCTTACATGATGTTCATCCCACCATCATCATCAATATACCTCCTGGGTCGATAAAACAAAGGCGCATCGTGTTGTGAGAGTTCAACAGTGCTTGTCTCACGGACGAGACTGACGCCTCGGCATACAAACGTGGAATTTCGGCGACTGGCTCAGGGCTGACATTTGAGACGTCAATATGAGCAGGAGACACCGACTGGACCAATTATTTGGTGTGATTCGCACGGTTGACGACGTACGGTACGAAATAAGTTCTACATACAGAGGGCACAATCGACCTCTTTTAGAAATGAGGATGAATAGAGTTATATTGTGTATACTAATGGGGCTTAATGGCGCGTAATAGTGCTGAACAATTTAATCAGGTTTAATAGGACTTAAGAGTGTCACGGGGGTCATATTGCATTCTCCAGATTATAAGACGCTTCAGGAAAGTAAGATGCACCCCAAAACTTGTGCCCGGTATTTACAGAGTTATGCAAATATAATATTAGAAAATGCACACATAGACAGACAAACATACACCTACCGGATAATCAGACAAGCCCCCAACAAACTTGATTTGAAGCTTTCGTGACTGCAGGAATTACTCTTTGGTTCTTTCGGTAAAGTCACGTAGAACGAAAATAAATTAAATAATAAAGTACAACGTTTCGATTGCAACACAAGCAGCCGTCATCAGGTATAACTAAATTTGAGAGAGAGAAAAAAACACAGACACTGAGAAACACAGACAGACACAAAAGCAGAGAGAGACAACACAGAGACACACAGAGAGAGACACACAACATAGACACACAGAGACCCAATGCCTCTGTGTCGAGGCCTCTCTCTCTCAAATTTAGTTATACCTGATGACGGTTGCTTGTGTTGCAATCGAAACGTCGTACTCTATTATTTAATTTATTTTCGTTCTACGTGACTTTACCGAAAGAACCAAAGAGTTAAGCCTCCAACATTTGCGGAAATAATCCAGGGTGTGAGTGCGTCATGATCCGGAGAACACGGTAAATAGGCAGAGCCATTCGCGATTATTTGCGACGTTAATAATGGGTGATGTGATATCGTGCGACGCTCAGGGGAGTGTGATTTGTAAAGAGCAAGAGAGAACAAGAACATCCCAAGACGATATTATAGGTGGTATCGTATTTCGATTGCATTCACAGAACGATATCTGATATCATTCTAAGGATACAATAGCGTGCCATTATGATCCAAGAGTATGCACTTTGATCAACAACGAATGCACGAGTAATGAGATAATTATATTAATTATTTCTAAAGGGTAGAGGCTATTGAGAAAATGTGTCCTTTATCATCTATTCACGTATTCATCACCAATTCACCATCTATACACCTTTCAACCGCTACCACCAACCCCACATCTTCATAGTCATCCAAACATCCACACATCGATCAACTACCACCACCATCAATGTAACAGCATTCATAAACCTATTCATCATACAGACATCATCTATACACTATCAATCACTACCATGACTTCTACATCAACTACACATCTATCCACCACCAACACTTCATCATCAATACATCTCTACGTCTATCAACGACCTACTACTACCACCACCATCATCCATACAATGCCATCTTATACACTCTATCACCCATCACCACCATCAATGTCACAGCATCCAGATACTTACTTACCACCTTCATAATCATCATCCATGCATCATCTATATATGTATCAACACAACATCACCATTATCCATACAACTCCATTTAACCACCTGGCCATCGTCATTATTAACAGACCTACCTACGATCCGCCTTGGGCAGCTCATGATAGATTTGGTACAAGGCCACAATAGTGAATGCTATGTCAGATTGAGCGCATCGAGATTAATTAAGTCCACGGATTTCATTTCGCACCCGATATGTTCCCACGGTGCTGCTCGGCCGGCGCGGAATAGGAATTACTGGCGTAAGGCACTACCACTAGAGTAGACCTACAAGCCACACCAATCCATCATACAGCAATCCTATATCGTTGCACCCTGTAATCACATAGTCTTAGTGAACAGGTTTAGGGACAAAACCGATCGAGGCGTGCGAAAATAATTCCTGGAACAGCAATCCTGGTTGTTCCGGATGAAATTAAGCACTGAACTATCATCACCATCATCACCACCGCGCAGGACGGGGCCACGGTAATTAATGGATGGCAAGGTCAGTCGGTGGGCATTGACTCGCCGCTGATATTGTTAGCCGTCGAATTGAACTCACTTTTCCCGGATTTCAGAGCCTAATCAAACTGAACAAAACAAAAAAAACCCAGATGCGGACTCAGGACCGTCACGAACAATTAATTATACCATGAATGTTCGCAAAACGACTGTTTAAATACAGTTCATGTGTGAGCCTGTGTGTGTGCCTGAACACACACACACAAGTTACCCAAAGCAAATCTCGCTTTGGGAAATGTGTTGGCTCTCTCTCCATCCAGAATCAGAATCTTTATTTAGACCGGAGGAATCTTTAATGAACCTTTAACAAGGCTCTCATCTCTGCTACTCTGTCTGTCAAGCATCTCTATAACGCTGTGAAGAAGGGCCATTGTCCGAAACGTCGCCTATTTGCGATTTTTTTTTAGGGGGGGGATTATGATCAATGCCGCAACACAGCGTTATTGACGAATGTGTTGAGTTGATTTTTGTTTGCTTGTGTATGAGGCTAGGCATGTGCTAGGAGTGCAGTGCGGTGCTAACCACTGTGCCACCGCTCCACGTGTGCGTGCAGCTTCCTCTATTTGGTCCGACCTTGCATTATCTACTATAGTCCACTGTACGGACCCCATTCCTTAAAGTCGTTCATCGGCATTTTGTACATGCCGTGATAAAAATATCCGAGCATTTGTGTAAATATGCAAGGTTAAGTTGCGTGAATACTGTTTATACTGGATGTATATATTTAACTGGTAGGCAAGCCGTCCTTACAGAAGAGGTGACGTGATGCTCAACATCACCCTCATGACCCCTCGCCACACATTGCCCAGTGCGCTAATCACTGCGCCACCGCTCTCCGCACGTTGTATGTAGTGTGTACATGCGTACAGGTACGGAACGGAAACTCGCAAAAACGACTTTATAATCTCCATTGAAATGCATAGACAGCAAACTCCAACCCTGGTCAGAGATCTACTTTACCCATGATCCCACTGGGGTGGATAGATTAGATACCACACTGTGGCAGGTTAACAGTGGACAACCCGACGGAAAGACCTTCCGATATGAACAAAACTGAAAATCTATTATCCACCTCGTGGCCTATCCCCTCAGCTACAGCACCGCCATCCAGTAAGTACAGTGGAGGCAAGACGCTCATAGCAAATGTAGAGTGGCCTATTTCCTCAGCTACAGCGCCTCCACGCAGTAGATGCAGTAGGAGCAAGACGCTCGTAGCACATCTACCGTGGCCTATCCCCTCGGCTACAGCGCCTCCACGCAGTAGCCACTTCAAACGCTGCTCTTCTGATCGGCCAGTCGACGGTCAACGTTCGGTCGCCTTTTTGACAGCACTCGCTGCGGGCTTCCCACGTGACGGCGGCGGGGCCACGATAAGGCCGCGAATCGGAATCGGCGTACGAATAAACCCGCGTGTCCCGTGCCCTGCCTGCCTTGCAGGGCACCACAGCGGAGAAGATCGCGGAGATAACGGAGATCACGGCCGTGGGGGAGAGGCCCTGGAGGATCTGCTCAAGGCGGTGCAGAGATCCCTCAATGGCTCCCTGAGCGTCGAGGGGGTGGTCGGCCTCTTCAGCAAGTGCAACCTCAGCGGCATCGACTTTCCTCACCCTGCACAGCCCGTCAACTGCTCCTTTGCAGGTGAGACAAAGGCAGCAAGGCGCGCCTCCTCGTACCAAACCAATTAGCCAACCCAGACACTTTGAACAAGTCCTCTCACCGAACCATAACCAGCTAGCTACTTATACATTAGTGCAATCCGTCCCGCCGACCCTAACTTTGGTAACTAACCAACCAACGTAAATTAATAAGCCTTCTATTGGCCATAACCAACGAGCCAACCACCCACTAATACTACGCCTTTCACTAGACCCTAACCAACTTGCCAGCAGAACTACTAGTACTAGCCCTCCCATTGGTCATAACTATAACCAACCAACTAGCTATTAATACTAGCCCTCCTATTGACACTTACCCGAACTAGTCAACAAGACACGAGTACCCGTCCTCACTAATTCCAACCCTACCGCCTCTTTTGGCTTCACCAGGGCGGCCTCTTACCACTTTTTTATTTCCCCCCCCCCCATCTCTCCCCACGGATTGCGCTGTTTACTGCGCCCATGCCAACAATAATAACAGCAACAGCATAACAGCTTCCGCGCGTGTGCATTGCACTGAATGGCGTCCCACGGTTTTCTCTCGCAGACATCGTCGGTCAGCCGCCCTACTCCGTGCCCAGCATCATCGCCAAGCTGCAACAGATCCTCAACGTGACCCGCGAGCAGATCCTTGCCAAGGCAGCCGAAATCTACGGCCGCTGCAAGGGCGTGCTGTCCCCCCCCGGAGGCCCCAATCACGACCCCCCAAAGCCCCCAAAGGGTGGCAGGCCAGGCCAAGGTGGCTGGCCAGGCCAAGGTGGCAGACATCGCAGATCGGGCGAAGGCATTAAATCCAAGATGGGCAAGGGCTCGCATCCTGAGTCTCCCAGAAGCCCAGGGTCTGAGTCTCCCCGGAGCCCAGGGTCTGAGTCTCCAAAGAGCCCAGGGCATGAGATTCCCAAGGGCCCAAGGCCTGCAAATCCCAGAGGGCAAATACCTGGTTCCTCCCAGCATAGAGGCCGGAACTAGGAATCTCTTCCGTTCCAGCAGTGACCCACTCAAACCTAACTCGGCTCTGTGGACCAGGCTAACAGTCGATTCAGGGCTTCGTTTCTCATGGAATATATACTGGGGATGCCTAAGCAACAGAAGCCACCACCTCACTGATAGCAAGGGGAAGTTGGGGGGGGGGCAGCTCCTCTAAATGTGTTTAATGATTTGAGTTTGACAGGTCCCGCCGAGACCGCTTGTGAGATCTCGGAGTTTGTGAATCGATTGTTGACCTCTATAAGCACAATGACCAAGTGATGGGTTATTTTCTTGACGTCTGTTGTTTCGCTAATTTCTTTGTCCAATGCCCGTCCCGACGAAATCGAATCCACCTTTTGATTTTGATGCACGAGTCTGAGCGCCACAGCCTTCGTTTTGCTCCGACACACTTGAAGGCAGCGGCTGAAAGAACGCAAGCACACACGACGGATCAGTGGCATAGAGTGGTTGACACTTGGGCCCTCCGGCTCACGTCGGGTCCCTGCACAGTTGCACTGCCCGCACACCCGAAAGCAACGCCACTGATGACGGCCGGCGTTTACAATCCACTTGCGATGTTGATGTTGATCGGGAGGGGGTGGGGTAAATGCAGGACTTGGCAAAGAACATGTGGACAAACGACCAAGGTGGTGGGTGATACCCTGGATTTATGTATTTTGATTATCTTTTATATACTAAGTAGTATATATTCAGCCTTTGATGGGTGTGGCAGTGGCGTGGTTTACAATTGTGCCCATTTCCCGTGTGTCAAGGCTGATTCGGTCAGAGGCAACAAAATAAAAAAATACATCAACATTTGTTTCGTCTCAAAAGTCACACGTGCAAGTGTTGATCTAGAAACCCGTAAGCTCTCCTCCGGTTCATGCAAATGTCATGATATTAAGGTGTCCGGTCCCACAATTGTTACAGAGGGACACGTTTGCAGATAACATTTCATACATTTTACCGACCAAAAAAAAATTAAAAAATAACCCGGCACTTATTTATGCTTTATTCTGTAATAAAGATCACTACCCCCTCCCCCCTATAGCCTAAACAGATTGTTGCGGCAAGCGATGCTCGCAAGCACCTATAAAAGCCAGCGAAACGCCGGGCCGTCTTTGTCTCCCCACTGTTGATGTTTACACACCCCACCGGATGCTTTTGTAAGGTTGAGTCGACCTCGGGCAGGTCCAGCCAGGACCGGTTCAAATATTCGCCGCCGATGTTACCCGAGAGTGGGAATCAATTTCGGGTCACCGGGTTCGGAGCAGAGTGCACTATGCACTACAATACCGGTTCTCATCAACACTCCCCGCAATACCACAAAGACAAAGATCGCCCGTCTAGCCTCAACAGACTGTCGGGGAAAGTGCTGTTAGTGAGCACCTATTGAGGCCGGCACGGTACCCGACCACCTTTGTCTCCCTAGTGGCGATGTTTACCCACCACACCAGGTATGCATCTGAGTACCTGTTGCGGTGACTTGCAGACTCCATAAGCGACTCTGCAGAGCCAGCAACCCACTTCCTGTGCTGTCTTACACACACGCATACACGGGAATTGTGCATTGTAAACACACGCTACGCGCTATCGCCTTAGCATGTAACCACTTAGACGCCTCAATAAAGAGATGACTGACGCATTGTGTGATCTGTATACGGGTCGATTTTAATCGGGGTCGGTTCCACGTGCCAGTGTACCGTGGCCTTAGCTTCTCGTTGGAGGACCCGGAAAAAAAATGTCCAAGCGACCACGGGGAGAACACGCGAACTCCAAATATACAGCATGCATTAGGGGTCGGAATCGAACCCACGACCTCCTGTATACCATGCGAGGTAGTTGACATCTTCGCCACCTCCCTCCTCATTTAGAAACATGTTCTACATTTCACATGATGAGCCACTTCGTTGAGCTATCATTTGTGGCCAGGTCGCTTCTGAAAAAGAGCTGTATAGCTCAGTGGGCCTTAGCTGGTACATTAAAAAAGTGTTAAAATAGTGTATATGGTAGAGCAGGGAGTGCAACTGCACCGTGACTCCACGTCTTAGCCCAGAGGGGACCAGGCGACAGGAACAGGACGGAAGGGGTTGTGTAATGGGCCAGTGCTGTGGGTAGGGTTGGGTTAGTGAGAGGGCTAGTAAAGTAGTGAGTTAGTGTTAGGGTCAGTGGATGGGCTACCGTAGTCTCTGAATGCTGAAAGCAAAACGTGTGGGTGTGTCCTATAATCCGGTACGTATGTGTGAGAGAGACCAGATGCGCAACGTTTGAAGGTGCGTCTTACTTTCCAGAGCGTCTTATCCGGAGAATAAGGTAGTAACTAATGGCTGGTTGGCTAGTGGGTTAAGGGTTAAAGTCAGTAAGAGCTGGGCTAAACGAGTGGCTAGTTTTCCAGCTCGGGCTATTCCGAGTAACAGGTTGGTTGGGGTTATGCACAGTGGGAAGACTGATGAGCTGCTTGGTTATGGTTACGTAAAGAACCGTGAAGTATTTATTTGGATATTGTGCTGCGGCATCACACCTAGCTTCACAATATTCAGATAATCTGTGGGACAGTTTTTCGCTGGCATTGTTTTTTTTTCTCTCTTTGAGTTCCCCGAGTGCACTCGACGCTTCGGGTCTGGCTCAGCCCTGCCCCCTGCTGGAAAATTAGATGAAGGTACAGGCGCAGCCCTGCGATTGCCCCGCTCCCGCCACTGCTGGTAGAAGGGACCTCCACTAGAGGGCGCTCTAGAGAGCCACTCTAAGAGGCTATCTTTGGCCGGGCTATTCCACGCTCGTCAAACATCTTGGATGGACAATTATAAGGTATTTAATTTAAAGAGCCCGTGACCTATCTCACAAGAGTCGGACAGTGAGCGTGCGACACTCTTCATAAATTGTTGTGATTCCCGGTCCCACTGGAATGTAAACAACACGTGATGGGTACTGTACGATCCGACCATGCCCGTCCAGTGCTCACTGAAATGCATTGGCTTTCAGTTGAGAAACAAATACATTCTAATATCGCATTCGTTACACACACTGAGTGCTTGCCATAAATGAGCCACAACACCTTGCTGATCTCGTCAGGGAGGACAAATCATCACGCAAACTCGGGTCATCCTCGCACAAAGACTCTCGCTTTCAGAGGCGCTTCTGCAGCCGTCTGGAACGCTCTTCCTTCCGATATTGGGAAGCCACTGGAGCACTTATAAATATAAATTTGTTGAGAACTGCTTTTTGTAATGAGTTTGTTGTCCTTTCCCCCGCACCTCGGATTAGCACGGGTGGCTACGTACCGTGTGAAGAAGTTCTACTTAAATGTAAATACATTTACCGGCACAAATGTCCGTAAGCGACTTTACCGGCTCGTGCTGTTAGCGTGCGTGGGGTCTGGGCCATGGTACACGAAACGCAATGTGGGGTTCCCCCCCCCCCCCCCCATACAATTCTCTTCGTCTGTAGTCCGGCGCCTGGACCCCTTCTCCCTGTGAGGCTCCGGCGAAGCTGCGATCAGAATGGGAATATTTATTTAAACTGCAGGCGGAATCCGATGAGCTAGGCAACTCTTTATCACAGATGTCCAATAGGGGGTGGGCGAGCACTTCCGATAGCTACGGCGCTGGACATGGAACTCTATGTGAGTCTATGGGCAACTATACGAGTGTGTGGGTCACTGTGTGAATCTATGGCTCTAGTGGCTTCGAGTAGTTTGGCACGGAGCCCCAATGCAGTTCCACTGCCTACACAGATAACGGGAGCTTTCTTGTTTGTGGATTGTGTGTGTGTACGAAGTGACCGTCTTTTGATATCTGTCGGCCGTCCGCACGGCTCTTAAGCCCCCCCCCCCACCGTGATGATTTCACGTAGCGCGTTCTGGGTGCCCTCGCAAACACGAGGCGCGTGAGGCCACGTGTAGCAAGGGCGTCGCGAGTCCCGCGAACAATAGACCCCACGAACAGTGGAACCCTACGAAGAATGGACCACGCGACCGATGGACCCCACGAACAATGGACCACACGAACGATAGATACATGGGGCGGAGGAAGAGTGCGCGTTGAGAGGAGTCGAGCGAGACATGGTATTGTAGGATGGAACACCTGCCTGGTAGCTGACCATGGCACCCTGTCTTGTGCTTCGGTGACTTGTTAATAGACTCCCGTCATGGAAATGTGGAATTTCCAGCACTGGATAAGAACCGTATCCTGTATAGGAGATGAGCGTTGCTTTGTGATGCAGGTTTTGAGTGCTTGCGTGGTGAGATGTTGATCGAGTTTATACATCATAGTACAGAAAATATGGGGCAAGATATGTTGACTAAATCCGATATACAGTGCCGAAAATATTGTGTAAGTTTATGAGACCTCCTTTGCCAGTAACAAGATATAGTAATAGGTTTTACCCTTTTAACTGGCACAAAAAAACTGACACCTTTATTCAAGGCATCATGTCTGCAATAACCACAACACAAGCAGTAAAAATGCAAACAAAAATACAACTCTGGTAATAATATGCACTGTCCTTGAATTTGATTGGTCCACACCTTTGAATAAAGGTGTCAGTTTTTTTGTGCCAGTTAAAAGGGTAAAACCTATTACTATATCTTGTTACTGGCAAAGGAGGTCTCCAATCTAATCGCCGCAACCACAGTTTCACAATTAATTTGCTACATCACCACCCTTATGGTCACCAGCAGAAGGCGGCACGCCCCTTCAAGCGGCCAGTCGCGAAACTCCCGATCGAATGCGCAGGCGATGCAACTGCAACCGGCGCTCGTGCCAACCACATCCCAGTACACGATGCCACTGGACCCGTAAGGCCCACACCGAGGAGAGCTATTCAAACAGAGATCCACACACTCACAAAACAAAGACCCCTCCCCGGTGAACAGGGACGGTCGACAAAAACGAGTTTGCCTGTCGCCTGCACCGGCGTCGAATCTCAAGTGGGGAACTCCAAGGAAGCTCGGCCTTTTCGCGATTACTCATTGACTCACGGGGAGGCGCGCGACATCGCCACGTGGAGGAAAGACACGTTTGTGGGTTGCCAGGGTTTTATGAGAAATCTGTGACCCACACACACCCATCCCGTAGGTTCCGAGTTGCGGATGTCAGAAACATTCCCTCTGGACGAGCGACACGTGATCCCCCGGGGTACCGCCACAAGGTTCACGTGATCCCGTGCGCGCAGGTGCAACGGCGTCTTACTCACCAGTCGATGCAGAACTGCAGTGATTTGGTCTTCCTTTTCTTCCCACGTGTGCACGCGCGTGTACACCGCACAGTGTTAATGTCTATGGAGTTGTCGTCCGGCACATGGAAGTTTAAACGTCGGTGGACGTTGGTACAAGACTGTGTGTGCGCGTGCGTTGTTCTTATAGGTGCTCGCGAACAGCAATTGCCCCCAACAGTCTGTTAAAGCTACACGGGGGATATTCGTCCTTGTCCACTTTAATAGGTGCTCGCTAAGAGCACTTGCCCCAACAGTCTATTAAAGCTACACGGGGGATATTCGCCCTTGTCCACTTAAATAGGTGCTCGCTAACAGCACTTACCTGGCTCGTGAATTAAAAGCTACACACAGGGGATCTTTGTTCTGTGTCAGAATGGCGTCAACTGTGGTGCCATAGCAGCAGCGAATCCGTCCGGCCGACTCCGTGGCCGCGACGCCGCCACCTCCGAGCGAGGGGGCCGACGCCGCTCTTCCCTCACCACCCTCCACATGAACACACACCCACATAGAGCCCCCACATGAACACACACACACACACCCCCACATAGAGCCCCCACATGAACACACACACATAGAGCCCCCACATGAACACACACACACACACCCCAACATAGAGCCCGCACATGAACACACACACCCCCACATAGAGCCCCCACATGAACACACACACACATAGAGCCCCCACATGAACACACACACACCCACATAGAGGCCCCACATGAACACACACACACCCCCACATAGAGCCCCCACATGAACACACACACACCCACATAGAGCCCCCACATGAACACACACACACACCCCCACATAGAGCCCCCACATGAACACACACACCCCCACATAGAGCCCCCACATGAACACACCCCCACATAGAGCCCCCACATGAACACACACACCCCCCACATAGAGCCCCCACATGAACACACACCCCCCCCCACATAGAGCCCCCACATGAACACACACACCCCACATAGAGCCCCCACATGAACACACACACCACATAGAGCCCCCACATGAACACACACACACTCCATATAGAGCCCCCACATGAACACACACACACCCCCACATACAGCCCCCACATGAACACACACACACCCATATAGAGCCCCCACATGAACACACACACATAAAGCCCCCACATGAATACACCCACACCCACATAGAGCCCCCACATGAACACACACACACCCACATAGAGCCCCCACATGAACACACACACCCCCACATAGAGCCCCCACATGAACACACACACACACCCACATAGAGCCCCCACATGAACACACACACACAGGGCCCCCACATGAACACACACACACACACATAGAGCCCCCACATGAACACACACACATAGAGCCCCCAAATGAACACACACACACATAGAGCCCCCACATGAACACACACACACCCACATAGAGCCCCCACATGACCACACACCCCACATAGAGCCCCCACATGAACACACACACACACACACCCTACATAGAGCCCCCACATGAACACACACACACCCACATAGAGCCCCGAGGGGAGGTCACCTGGCCGACAGGTTTTCACCCAGAAGCCCTCTCATGGGACCAAGCTTCACGGTTTCCTGCGACCAGGGCATTGGGCGACCTCCCCCGAGGCTAACTCGCACCGCGGCGCCGTGACTTGGGTTGTAATCACGTGGTCACGACGGGGCTGCTGAGCCACCGCGGATAGAAAACACCCACAACACACACGGGTCAGCAGACAGGTAGGGGGGGACAGAGTCACGAACGGCGGGAAAAACAGGGCCGGTCCTCTGATTGGTAAGACAGATGCGCCTCGGTGAGTCCGAGGCTAAATTACCTGAGTCAGTTTGAGTCAGCAGGGCAGGTCTAACCTTTCTCCCGATGGTCTAAGACCCGATCTGTATCGCAGGCCCAGTCCTCTGATTGGTAGGACAGGTGCGCTTGTTTAGAGGGTGAAAAGCGGACGTCTCAGAGAGCACCGGTCCGGGGAGAGTGGCGAGAAATCCGGCCCACCTGATTGGACGGGAGGCCAGCGGATCAGCGCCGATTTATCTTTGATGTAGAGGACAATAAAAAGGGTAGAGAAGGTAGGGAGAGTCAGTTCGTAATGTACTCAAGCCAGGCTCAGGGCGGTCGACTTCCCAGCCACTCGAACGTCCGAGTGACGAGTCGAAATGCAGTGAGGATCCGACCCAGCAGCTCCGTACGAGTCGAACCGTGAGTACCCGAGAGTGAGATATTGAGGCCATTGTGAGATTGTCTTAGGAGAGTGAAAGAGGCGATACAGATCGGGTCTTAGACCATCGGGAGAAAGGTTAGACCTGCCCTGCTGACTCAAACTGACTCGGGTAATTTAGCCTCGGACTCGCCGAGGCGCATCTGTCCTACCAATCAGAGGACCAGCCCTGTTTTTCCCGCCGTTCGTGACTCCGTCCCCCCCCTACCTGCCTGCTGACCCGTGTGTGTTGTGGGTGTTTTCTATCCGCGGTGGCTCAGCAGCCCCGTCGTGACCACGTGATTACAACCCAAGTCACGGGGGCCGTGGTGCGAGTTAGCCTCGGGGGAGGTCGCCCAATTCCCTGGTCGCAGGAAACCGTGAAGCTTGGTCCCATGAGAGGGCTTCTGGGTGAAAACCTGTCGGTCAGGTGACCTCCCCTCGGAGCTCTATGTGGGGGGTGGGGGTGTTCATGTGGGGGCTCTATGTGGGGGTGTGGGGGTGTTCATGTGGGGGCCCTATGTGGGGGTGGGGGTGTGTTCATGTGGGGGCTCTATGTGGGGGGGGGTGTTCATGTGGGGGCTCTATGTGGGGGTGTGTGTGTTCATGTGGGGGCTCTATGTGGAGGTGTATGTGTTCATGTGGGGGCTCTATGTGGGTGTGTGTGTGTGTGTGTGTTCATGCGGGGGCTCTATGTGGGTGTGCGTGTGTGTTCATGTGGGGGTTCTATGTGTGTGTGTGTTCATGTGAGGGCTCTATGTGGGGTGTGTGTGTGTTCATGTGGGGGCTCTATGTGGGGGTGTGTGTGTTCATGTGGGGGCTCTATGTGGGGTGTGTGTGTTCATGTGGGGGCTCTATGTGTGTGTGTTCATGCGGGGGCTCTATGTGGGGGGGGGGGGTGTGTTCATGTGGGGGCTCAACGTGGGGTGTGTGTGTGTTCATGTGGGGGCTCTATGTGTGTGTGTTCATGTGGGGGCTCTATGCGTGTGTGTGTTCATGTGAGGGCTCTATGTGGTGTGTGTGTTCATGTGGCGGCTCTATGTGGAGGTGTGTGTGTTCATGTGGGGGCTCTATGTGTGTGTGTTCATGTGGGGGCTCTACGTGGGGGGGTGTGTGTGTTCATGTGGGGGCTCTACGTGGGGTGTGTGTGTGTTCATGTGGGGGCTCTATGCGTGTGTGTGTGTGTTCATGTGAGGGCTCTATGTGGGGTGTGTGTGTGTTTTCATGTGGGGGCTCTATGTGGGGTGTGTGTTCATGTGGGGGCTCTGTGTGGGTGTGTGTGTGTTCATGTGGGGGCTCTATGTGGGGTGTGTGTTCATGTGGGGGCTCTGTGTGGGTGTGTGTGTGTTCATGTGGGGGCTCTATGTGTGTGTGTGTGTTCATGTGGGGGGTGGTGAGGGAAGAGCAGCGTCGGCCCCGTCGCTCGGAGGTGGCGGCGTCGCGGCCACGGAGTCGGCCGGACGGCTTCGCTGCTGCTGCGGCACCACACAATGAGTCTGTAGTGGTACTAACACGTTGCATCGCCTTCTTTTTTTAAAATCGTCTACCGCATGTGTTGAGATCACAGGCACACACGCACGCGTGCGCGCGCACACTTAAATCACGGCACAATCTCGTGAATTGTATTTATCCACGAGTTTGATTACATCGGACGGCAATTCACTCTGGAGGCGCATGAAAAAAACAGAGATACACAGATCCATCCCACCAGCACCCACCCCCGATAGCCTTTAACAGATTGTGGAGACAAGTGCCGTCAGCGAGGGCGTGTGTGTGGCCAACACCACGCCGGCCGCCTTTGTCTTTCCAGTGCTGATGTTGTACACACCGCACCAGGTACAATACTCATTTAATAATAATCATCAACGGAGTTTGACTTCTATATTTGGGGGGTGGGGGGGGGGCTTCGCTTTGTCCCTCACATTAGGAATCACCGTGTGCATATAATGAATTAACCAAAAATTTAAGCTTAACTACAGAAAATAAACTCCGCCCATGCATTTAATGCTGAGTCGACGTACGAGTGGTTCGAGTAAGCGGTTCAAACATTCGCCACTGTTATTGGGAATCGAACTCGGGTCTAGCTGGGTTGGGAGCGCATGCCACTGCGCCATCGCTCCCAACGAAAGCACACACACACACCTCCAAAGACAAAGATCCCCCGTATAGCCTAAACAGACTGTAGGGGCAAGTGCTGTTAGCGAGCACCTATAAAGGCCGGCACGGCACACGAGGAGGTGGGTGGCCAACACCGCGCCCGGCCGCCTTTGTCTCCCCAGTGGCGATGTTTATACATCGCACCAGGTCCTCATTTGAGGCTGAGACGCCCTAGGGGAGGCCCGGGACCGGTTTTAGGTAATCGTCACCGATGTTAGCCGTTAATGGGAATCGAACCCGGGTCGCCAGGTTCGTGGCAATGCGCGCGCGCGCGCGCTGGGAACGCGCTCCGTGACTGCGCAGGGCGAGGCTGTTGGCGCGGGTTGTGAGACGCGGGCCATTCCCATGCTTGTTTGAGTAAACGAGGTTTGTTGTTTGCGATGCTGGGAGTCGTCGTGCTCTTAGCCAGACGCGTCAAACGCATGGGGGGGGAGGGGGGGTCAGGACGGGGTGGGTTCGTGGTAGGGTAGGAGGAGGATTTGTGTTTGAAGGGCTGTCGCTCAGGGGCTCGCTATGAGTCGCAGCGCATTCCCTATTTCCTCGACGCGTGTGTATTGTTGCACAAGCGCGGCGGATATAGATGACTCTGCACAGGTTGCCTCGGTGTTCACTAGCCAAGCGGACTCCAGAAGTTGTTTCGAGAAGAGCAGAGAAGCCAGAAGTCGCCTGCTGTTATTCCTCTCGCTGTTGTCCGGCGCTTCGGTGATGAGAAGGAATTTGCGTTCGGATATCCGCGTCGCCGGGTAGAAGAGGAGATGCGTGGCGAGGGACGGCGCGCCCTGAACGCGTTCTTGTTGGCGATCTGCATGCGCTCCTGTTGCCGGGGTAGCTTGGTGCACGCAGGTAAGACACACGCTACGCGCTCTCTCTCACACACACAGACACAAAGACAGTGATCCCCCCCCTCCCCTGTAACAGACCTTTGGGGCAAAGTCTTGTTCTCGAGCACATGATAAGAAGGCCGACGCGGCAAAGACACTGCACATGCGCATGCACACTCGCGTTCACACTCGCGTTCACAGACGCGTTCACACTCGCGTTCACAGACGCGTTCACACTCGCGTTCACACTCGCGTTCACAGACGCGTTCACACTCGCGTTCACACTCGCGTTCACAGACGCGTTCACACTCGCGTTCACAGACGCGTTCGCAGACCCATTCACACACGGATTCACAGACGCGTTCGCAGACGGATTCCCAGACAGATTCACAGACGCGTTCACACACGGATTCACAGACGCGTTCACAGACACAAAACACGACAACCGCCGTTCGCCACTAAGTGGCGGTGACGTTGCGACGGCGCTTGTGCCAGGATAGGTGCACCTTGAGGCCACGTGAAGAAGTGTCGAAGGCTCGCTGGTGGCAGGTCACGGAACAAACCCAGGTGCCATGGGTTGACTGACCGAGATGACTGACTAGATAGATGCACCACCTGTGTTTCTCACTCTGCTAACTCGCTGCGTTTTAGTCGCCCAGCGCTCGACTCGTTGTTGTGAGCGTCGCTTACTCTGGGCACCGCTGCTGTTGGAGAGCGGCTGTCTTCTCCTACTGCCCAACAGCGTCCTTGACGAGCCGTCTCGCACACACACACTCGCATCCCCCATTTAGCCTTCAACAGACTCTTGGGGCATGTTGCTGCTCGTGAGCAACACCTATTTAAGCCGGCACGGCACACGATGGGGTGGGTGGGCAACACCCCGCCCGGCCGCCCTTCGCTCTCCGGTGCTGTTGTTTTACAAACCGCAGCAGGTACTCATTTAATGCCGAGTCGACTTAGGGGGAGGCCCAGGACCGGTTCAGATACTCACCTCTGATGTTAGCCGTGGGACTGAATCGAACTCTGGTCAGAATCACAATCAGAGTATTCATTTATACTGGAGGAATCCGATGAACCACAAAGCTCGTTGACACGCAGGCTTGTTTAGCACGCATAAAGCTCCTTATCACACACGTCCAGGGTCGCCTGCCTCGTAACGCCAACGCTGTCGCCCCGTGCAGATGGCCTCGTGTTCACGGAGAGCCCGCAGAACGCCACGGCCTCGGTGGGAGGCGAACTGTCGATCTCCTGCGAGGCGGACAGCGCGAGCCTGGGACCGGTCCTCGAGTGGCTTCGGGACGGGGCCCCGTTGGGCACCGACGCCGACTCCTCGTCGGGGGGCACCGGCTCGGTGGGGGGTGGCACGCATCACTCCGTCGCGCAGCTGGCCCTGTCTAAAAACGGCGGCACCGCCTTTGTTCACCGCAGCACGCTCAGGTACGACCCCCCCTCCCCCCATCCGTGCGGGTGTTTTCAAATCTATCGGAGGGGGGGGGGCGGGGGGAGCGGTGAAAAATGAATATGGTCGGTCGTTGTTCCCAATTCATTCCAATTGTGCCACCGGCGTCATGTCGCGAGATGAAGCGTTCCATGCAGAACACTCAACAGTAGGAGAGCAAGGCGCCGCAAAAGTAGGTTTCACAGAACTACTACCGAGTTCCCGGCAAGTAACGACGCACTAGGGTGCGCTGCACTTTGCCGCGCGCCCTGCTCTGGAGATGTTCATCGTCAAAACTGATCTTCGCCTCTTCTCGACGAACTTATTCCCCTTTATTTGTGGTCTCGGCGTGGTGATCCTTGCTCTCAGCTGCCCTTCGTTGTGCAGCGATTCCACGTCACTGCATGACGACGGCTTGGGGAGGACTGCATCCAGCAGTGGATTCATAATGGCTGATGATCATGGTGATGACACACTTCCTCGTCCACTCCTTGATCACAGCCATCCGCCTCTTCCTAGATAACCCCCTTGCCCTCCTACCTTCTAACTCCATGTCCTGCACTTTTACCAACGCCATCTGCGTCTCCTATTTCCACACTGAGATCATTCTAATGTTTTAGTCTATGATAAAAAGAAAACCCCAATAATTCACAGCCTATATAATTCATTCACCACTGACGTTAACCACGGTCGGGATTGGAATTCAGATTGCCACATTCATAGCGCAGTGCCCTAACCGCTGTCTCACTGCTCCTCGATGTTGATTTGGTATATTCTCATAAAATCAGATATTTTTATTCTCAAAGCTCAAACTGTCGCCACATTACATTAAATTAAGTTTGCGTGAGTGTGCAGTCATTACCGACCGGGTCTGAGATCATCAGCGTGCTGTATTGTACTCGAGAAACCACTTTCGAAACGTGCGACTGACCCCTAGGATTCGAACCTAGGTTCTCGGCCTTGCCGTTTCAGTGTTCTAACATCTGAGCCACCCGAACAGCTCCCGATATGCACGTTTTAGTATTGTCCACTCACATGCGATGGTTTTCCCCAGACATTGGTTTAATCGTGCCTGCTGAATTATGTTGTCATTTGTGCATTATAAGTAGAGCTGATGGATTTGAAAGTTGATGATGGATTGATGGTGATGTTGGTTATGATGATGATGGATTGAGAATCGATGACGATGAATTGATGACGATAATTACGATGATGAATTCACAGTTGATGACGGGCCGACACGTCACAATGGTGGCGGTGACGTTACTGCTGGTTGGCTCTCTGCCTCGTGTGTTGTTGCAGTATCCACCGCGTGCAGCAAGGAGACGTAGGCCCTTACTCCTGTCAGGTCACCTTAGCCGGGGGAGTCGTGGTCCGGTCCAAGGAGGGGTGGATACAGGTGGAAGGTAAATACCTCGCCTGGTGTACAGGAGGCCGTGGGTTCGATTTCAACCCTGACGCCTGCTGTGTATTTGGAGTTTTCATGTTCTACCCGTGGTCACGTGGATTTTTCTACGGAACCTGCGGTATTTCCCGCCACATTTGGAAACGTGCGTTTAGGGTAATTGGTTGCTTTACATTTCCACGTGATAAGCCACTTCGTTAAGCTTTCGTTTGTCACCAAGTTGCTTCTGAAAAATAGCTCTATAGCTCAATAGGATTTACCTGGTAAAATTAAAAATAGTTTAGTTTAAGATGGATGCGTTTTAATCCGTGGTATGGAACCCGACGGGGGGGGGGGGGGGGGGGTAGCTGTTTGATAACATCACGATTTTAAAATATTCATGCTTGCTCTGGATTGTGTTACAAGATTTTGGGCAAAAAACCCTTGGATAAATATTGTTTCCCAGGAGAGGTCCCTAATAACAACACAAATTCCTAAGACAGTTTTGTTGGATGGTCTCTACGAATTATAAAGCCATCCTCATACCGGGTGAAAGACAAAATGAGTGCATGAATGCTGTTACATATGCACTCATAAAGCATTACAAAAATGAGTCTCGAGTTTCAGTGACACATTCCAGGATAAGTAAGCGGCATTATTATGAATAATTGTCCTGATATGCGTTGCGACTTTATATGGGCCGAGTGTTTAGGAGCCCAACTCCGGTTTATATTCAAAATATATTTTTTACTTGTGATCCTGCATTGGCAGGGGTGCACAGACACATAACAACAACAAACATCAACACATTCATCAATAACACTGTGGCCCTAAATGAAAATGTATATAAAACAAGTTACATTTTGGGTAATTCCCCTTATAACCTATCTGGACAAACGCCCACTGTGTGACCATTCTACCGGGGTTAGTGACCTCAGGAAAACCCTGGACACTCTTTACAAAAGAGATGTTCCATCTCAATGGATTCTCCAGGTGAAATATTAACAACGTACATTTATTTAATGATTACTATTATTTAAATCCCTTCCATTCCCTGACCGTGCCAGGCAGGCCGACCATCACAGGGGAGCCTCGGTCTCTGAACGTGAGCCGGGGCGAGCCCTTCACGCTGCGCTGCACTGCAATGGGACCTCCTGAGCCCGTGTGGATCAAGTGGTTCAGCAGCGCAGATGTCCAGCCTCAGCAGCCAGACAACAATGGGTCCTCTCCCTCCGAGCTGCACGTGTCTGGTGCGTTTGAGTTTCGTTTTTTTGTCGCTTTATATTCCGCGTCACTTGTTGCGAATGCATCGCGCAACGCCGCGCAATTCACAGTTACGGAGGTCCATCCGTATGGAGGCGCTTGTGGACGATGGGTGTTTGTAGGCGTGGGAGGAAACCACGCGTGTTAGGGGGGCAACGCTCGATCCCATACAGATGATACAGAAACAGATGAATCCGCACTCGCTGTACCACCTTCTTCTGGCAAGCAAGGGGGGGGGGGCATGGCACCACGACGTCCAACAGGAAGGGAGTTTCACAATGTTTGGTGTGATCCGCCAAACCCTCGCTACCTCCACAGTGCTGTTTTACAGGCCCCATGCACAGCCACCACCGGTCTGTTGAGGGTTACGATGGTCCTTGAGACATTCGGCCACAAATGACGATTCGGTTACCACCCAGAGTGGCTGACGCTATAAATGATTTTCGAGAATCGTCTTATCTCTAGATGGCAAACATTTACGACGGCAAGGTCAGAGCATTTAGGAGGGCTTAACAACTGATATGAAGCGTCCAGGGAACAAGGCCAGAACTAGCAAACATAATCCAGAGAGTGTGTACGCATAGCTCTCTGCTTGTGGTGCGTACTTGTGGCGTTTGCCACCCCCGGCGGTACGGGCCAAGCCCCCTGTGCCTTGTTGGCTACAAGGCACAGGCGCTCCGGTGGCAAGGCCCCGTGGCATCTCAGCGGCTGCACGAGAGGAAGCTCAAGACAGGCCCTCTAGAGGGCATTTGCGCTCCCCCACCCACACACACACCATCCCTGCTTAAAAAAAACTATAACTTATTCTTTTCACCAGTTACGGTCCCACTGAGCAATGTAGCTCTTGATCAGAAGCGACCTGGCTATCACAAATGATAGCTCAATGAAGTGGCTGATATCATCACGTGGACATTCATAGCAGCGTCCAATTCCTATTAAGCTTTGATGGTGACGACTGAATCGTGTTGCATGGACGCACTTATTGATAAATACACGCGTTCACGTGTACATGTATGGCCCTTTTTTTGTCAATCCACCGCTGGATAAGGACCTCCGCATGTCGCGGTGGTTATACGATCCACACTTCACCACGCCGGTCAGTGCGGATTTTGTGAAGGTGTGGGGAGCATAGATGTGGGAGTATTGAGAGCCACGATACAGTATATATACACACACACACCGATGATTTGTTTCTGCAAAGGCTTCTGGTGACAACGTAGCCCCCGCAGCAGCGTTGGCCTCTAACCACCCTGATTCGCGCAGGGTGGCGGTCACCGTCCAGACTCGAATCTGCACAGTTTCCGAGATCTGACTCGATCGGCGCATCGACGGGTAAAATTATTGTGCATTCGGTGAAACGTCTCGGTTCGCGAACTTCCTCCCTCGCTCCAACCGGGCGCCTTTTGTTTGTTTTCTGAGTCAATCTCAGCCGGCGTCTCACCCACGGCGTCACCTCCAACAAGGAAACTCTCACAAGGCGTTCCTTCCGTGTTCTTTATCTGCAACGCTTGGCTTTTTTTTCTTCCGCCACGGTTATCGCATCGCCGAGCCCGGTGTTCAAGCGGTTTCAGGAGTGGCCGCGCAGTTAACCCAAAGCGGTTCTCTCTCGTGGCAATCTTTGGGAACGCGACCGCGTCCCGAAAGCATGTTGCCTCTGCGTGAACCCACTGAGGAAGGGGACTTTTAAATTAACGACAACGGGAGGACGTGCATTATCGTGCACCACTAAGCCGTGTGCGATGCTAACGCGAGAAAATCGTTCTGGCTTCACATTCAATGCACTGATGCAATGCCCTGCGCATTGACCTTGCCTTCAGAACTCCGGTTCCTGAGAGACAACACGTGACCGAGCGTGATGGTTATAAAGACACGGTGTTGCCCGGTCGAAAATATTCCCCTCCAGTATCCCCGATTAGTGTAGTCACGACGCCTGCCAGTTAGATTGCGCTCACACTTTGCTTAACCAGCAGATGAAATAAACCCACCGAGACGCATGGCACACCATTGCTCCTTTTGCAAGGATGACCTGCCTGGTGACGAGTAAACACCGCTTGCTTGCCACTTTGAAGCAGTAGTCCCACATGTCGCTGCGGGGCTCGCATAAAACGAAGTAGCTGGGCCACGTTTGGCCCGTGGCGTTCCCGCCCGCGTTGAATGCACGTGGTGATGATGATGATGCGACTCGATTTTCAGGAATTTCTGAGACGACGAGTTACTCGTGCCACGCGGCCAACTCCAGGGGCACCAGCGTCTCGAGGGAGGCGCGGATCAACGTGAAGGGTGAGGGCGCGCTGCCACCTCTCCCACTGTAGACCAAACCCGGATGTATTTCTTAGTCAGCGCTGGGTCGATTATCAAAACTGTGCAGTACGCTGGAATTGAGTCCAACGCAGCAACGCCGGTACCAGATCTGGGTAGAAATCAGTTCCTAGCCATCAGAACGCAGATGCCAATTCCCGGACTGTCCGAGTCACACTTGGGACTGGTGGCGACCAAAGGACTGACCTTGCTGTAGCTTCTCCTGGGGAGGAGCAGGGTCAAATGCAACACTTTGTGTAAATGATGAGGAACCCCATCGCGCGAGCACCTCGCATAGCCTCGGTTTGACTCCAATCCATGTGCATCACCAGCGGTGAATTGTTCTTTGAATCTGAACCTGGCCTGGCCCACCACTAGATAAACTCGGCCTATAAATGGGTCAGTGCAAGTACTTGGCAGTGGTGCGTCAGCGGCACCAATCGCCCATTGAGCGGACAGAATCACGGTGGTCTTAAACAGTGCTCAATCGCAAACCTGACGCGGTGGGCTATGGGGGGGGGGGGGGATTTGTGTGCGCGTGGTCAAAAAGTTCCAGTGAGGCGTATCGCGTGCCACTGTGTGTGCGTGGACGTGGCTCTGTCGCAATTCCGATTGCTCGGAAAGACAGATCTCAGATTTAGCAATAAAACACGTCCGCCTTTTGAGTTCGTTTTGGCGCTGCAGGTAACGCTACGATTCATGGCCCTTTGTCAATCCACTGCTGGATGAAGGCCTCCCAATGTTACGTGAGTCATGGGGGGGGGGGGCGGGGGGGTTGTTTCACCATACTTCACCCGGCTGGTTAATGCGGTTTTATTGAAGAGGGAACCAGGACCAGTTCAGGTATTATTTGCCACTGGTGTTTTTGTTGTTGTTAAAATGATCACCTGCAGACAATCCCGGGAGATGAAATGGCCCGTTTGCAAGAGTGTTCCAGGGAGTCACGTGATATGTGCATGGTAGCCGAAGGCGGGATTCAAACTCGGGTGTAACCGGGTTCATGGTGCAATGCACCAACCACTGTGCCATCCCTCTGTCCTCAGGCAACGGTATAATTTATTTTAAAACGAAATATTGTGTTAAATCACTGTCGATGAGTGTGTGTGTGTGCGCGCTTCCTTACTGTGCAAGTGGCGGTAGAGGCGAATCTATAAACTACCCCGGGAGCGGATATGGCGATCTTGAAATGTCAGTACATTGAAATCCAGTAAAATTCCAATTTCCTGGATTCAAGAGTCGCGGGGGGTGGGAAGGCACGTTCGCCCCCCATCGCAGCCCCCCCCCCTCCACCCCCGACCTGTGTACACCACGGAATGGTGGCACGTCGGTTCATGAATTGTGCTATGAACCCCAGCCACCTGAGTTCGATTCCCCGACTTCGTGCCCGGTGGATGCGCGGAGTCGTATTCGACTATGGGTGACGCGTCTGTGAAGTGGTGCTGAGACGGTGGAGTGCGACGCTCTTGGTGCTGCTGCCCCCCCCTTCCCGCTCCCACCCACCTCCCAACCACAGTTTTGCCGGAGGCTCCTGGGCTGCCCCGGCTGGTGACCGTGAGCGCGCGCGACGCTTGGCTCTCATGGAACCCCAGCTTTGACGGATTCTCTCCGCTACTCGGGTGCCGGGTACAGGTGCGACCCTCGCTTAATTACACTCAACCACAAAGGCCATTCCACCCCCCCCCCCCCCCCCCCATTAGCCTATGCAGGCTGATGGGGCAAGTGCTGGCCGGATATGTTAAACATGAGCGGATCGCTGAACTGCACAAATGGCACGCTCTTTGTTGTTGTATGTAAGCGCCTGTCACTATGCAGCAGGCATGACTCTGTTTGCCAGCCGGCCACGTATCCCGGTTGAGCCTGCCGGAAACGTTGCTACCTTGCAGGTCGCGAGAGACGACGGGCAGTGGGCGGACGCCGACAACAACACGGAGGCCAGCGGCTGGGCCCCGGACGATGACACGGGGGTGCAGGAGGTGGCAGGGGTCCCCGATGATCCCTCGTACGGGGCCCCCCTGGGCGGCTTGGAGCCCGGCACGGATTACCGGGCCCGCATCGCCTGCCACAACCAGGTCGGCGCGTCGCCGTGGTCCCCGTGGGTCAGGCTTCGCACGCGCAAGCAAGCCGGTGGGTCCTCCTCCGTTTCTCGCCGTCCACCGCTTCCCGGTCCTCTTCTTGTCCTTCATCGGTGGCGTTCAAATCCTGGTAGTGGCGAGGGGAGGAGGGGGGGCCTGGTGAGGGGGAGTTGACTCAGCCCATCGTCCCTCCGCGGATCATTTAAAAAAATAGGTGCCTACTATTTTGTGGAGAGGCTCGCCACCCACCATGGGGGTGCGGAGTTTCCACCACCGGCTCGGGGATTGTAGACAGGAGCTGAGCACTGCCTCGGTGCTCGGTTGAGCAGGAGATGACTTTGCGTTGTTGGTTTGTGATTCATCCATTGCATTAGTCGCGAGATGTTAACTCCCTCGCCCCGTATGCCGGATGTTGTGGGTTCCATACCGATCCTGACGCCTGTACATTCGGAGTTTTTATGTCTCTCTCCCCGTGGTCGCGTGGATATTTCTCCCGGTCCTCCAGTTTTTCCCTCCACATTTAGAAACATGCGTTTAGATTATTTGGCTGTTATACATTTTCACGTGATAAGCCACTTCCTTGAGTTATCATTTTGTGATAGCCAGGTCGCGTCCTGAAAAATAGCTAAATTGCTCAGTGGGTCTTACTTGGGAAAAATTAAATTAGAGTAGTTTAGTTTTATTTCTGCTTGGGGCACTGCCCTTGTCGAGGAGAAGAGACTTGAGATCATCGTAGACCTCAACATGGGCACCCATGCGAAGACAAAGATCACCCATATAGCCTTACCAGACTTTTTGGGGAAAGTGCCGTTAGCACCACACCCGACCGCACGCCTTTGTATCCCCAGTAGCGATGCTTACACACCGCGCCAGGAACTGATTTGAGGCTGTGTCGACCTAGGGGAGGCCCAATACTGATTGAGATAATCATCACTGGGATTGGTCACGAGCGAGAATTGAACTCGGGTGGCCGGGCTCGGAGCACAGTGTGCTAACCGCTGCGCCACCGCTCCCCGCGCATAACTGGTGCTCGGCCAGAGGTAAGACAAAACGTGCCCCCTTCACCAACCCACACTCACCTGTGTGGTGAAGTATAGCCAAACCCCCCAACCCCACCACCCCCCCCATGACCGATGCATCTCAAACATGGCCCCCCAGTACTCAGCAAACTTCGTCTGGAATTCTTTCTTTGCTTTACAAATCTTATTTTTATGATTTTTAAAAATATTTGGTAACAACATGATTACTGATCTATTATATAATTACAATAACCCCCCCCATCAGGTGATTTCTGCACCTGATGAGTTCAGTGACAATGTCGTCCTGCTGCTCTCTTTAAGACTGGGGGTGCAGGTGGATGGCTTCACTCTTCTGGCAAATCGCCCGATGATGCTGAATATAATTACCATCGAAGCGTCGTACTATTCAAATTGTAAATGTTGTGGATTTACTTTCCAACACACCGGTGGGCTGTAGTAGTAACTAATTGGTGCGTTGTTTACGTGACAAACCTTACTGGCTGTGTCGGGTGGTGGAGGGTTACGACACATTTATACTTATGCTATATAACCGAAAAACTTTTATTATGAATATTTGTCGCGAAAGGCTACGTGTTAAACCATAGTATTACGTTCAAAATAACAATAAATCATCATAAATTACCTTTTTTTGTCCGCATTGCATTATAAGACCGATTGGAATGTTAGGTATTATTGATGGTAATCTTCAGTGAACTCGCTCTCATGTGCAAAGTTGTGTGCTTGCTATGCGCGTGTCAGTTGACACCCTGGGTAACCTTACAAGCGAGATGTTCCGTCTCAAGGGATTTTCCAAGATAAATATTTATATAAAGGAATGAAATTAAATAAAGTGCCATCCGTGGGACGATTTTCCTGAAGAAAAAAAAACACTGAGTGTGGGCCATTGTGTGCCCATGTCTTACCACATTTGCCATAATTCTCTCAAAATTACTTAATTGGGTAACAACATGGCAACATTGCTCTCCACTGGTAGCCTCATGGCCACTTGCAGCTCGGTGTTATGTGGCATTGTGCCGCACAGGGACAGCTGCCATTAGGGGACCCCCCCTCGGCTCAAATAGAAGGAAACCGTTGCTGGGAATGAGATGTGACGAAAGGTGTTTTCAGATGCTGGGATATTTAAACGCCAAAAAAAATGCAACTCCTCATTTATCCGCGTGTGTCAACCACGTGCACGTAACTCTTCCACTCTACCTGGTCTCTCCCCCGCACCCGCTCCCCCTCGACAGCCACCCTCCCTGAGTTCGTCCCGTGGCTGCTCGGCGTGGCTGCTGCCCTGGCAGTCCTCGGAGCTGTGGTGGTTGTGGTCTTGTGGAGGAAGAAGAAGCAACAGTTTAGGTTTGAGTTCACCCACTGCGTCTCAACCCGATCCACGACATTTGTCACGAGCACTGCTTTATAACGGAGGGACAAATACAGAGCAGCATAACGTTTTGGTGCAATGGCATTTCTCTCAGAGCGGGTGGAGAAAGAGAACAGAGAGGCCGACTGACTGACTTACAGTTGGAGATTGCATTTTACAGCGTAGTCCATGTGTCTTGTGACACTCTCTAAAACTTAATATTTTTAAAGTAAGGTTTATTTTAAGCATAAATAAACATACAAAGGGAACATTATTTAGGGGTCAATTAATTGGGGGTCACAAGACATATCTAAAAACTATTACACTGAACTATTTGTATTTTACGAAGTAAGGCCCACTGAGCTATAACAGCTCTTTTTCAGAAGCGACCTGGCCACAAATGATAGCTCAACGAAGTGGCTTATCACGTGGAAATGTATAGCAGCCAAATACTCAAAATGCATGTTGATTGTAAATGTGTAGGGTAAAAAACCGGAGGACCCGGAGAAAAATCCACACGACCACGGGGAGAACACGCAAACTCCAAATATAAAGGCATCAGGTTCGGGATCGAACCCACGACTTCCTGTATACTAGGCCAGGTAGTTAACGTCTCGCCACCGTGGCCCTGAGACATATGGGACATTTGGAGAACGATGGCAGGTGGAGGTGGCCGGGTAACTCAGGGGTCAGAGTGCTGAGCTGCCACCACTGAGATCTTCGTTCCAAATTCAGGTGTCAGCCATTGCCCACGATTAAACCAGACTCCCAAGTGTAATGAGTTGAGAGTCTCTGCTACATTTGCACTTTATTTGGTTAAATGCCAGCAGCCCTGATAATAAAAAACACCGCTTTTTCGCGGTCAGGAAATAAGTGGATTGGTCATCTCGTGAACATGATGGAGGTACAAAAATTGTGATTAAAAGAGGGGGGGGGGGGGGGGGCGGGGGGAACAATAATAATTTAATATTCAATGCCAGTAGGCATTCAATATCAAATAAACCCTTATAAACTATACATTTCAATATATGCATAAACTGTCTTAAAACTGAAAATGGAATTTATCGAATGTGAATTGAGAAAAAAGCACGTTAGGAATGGCAAGCCGCCGGTGCTGAGTTTGTTTAGTTTTGATAAATGACCCTCAGGAGGTGACGAAATCACAGCCATGCCGGAGATATCACTTTTCGCGCTTTACCCGTAAGCTTGCCGAACCGGTTCGTCTGCATTTGCGCAAACTCGTGGCTGAGTTACAAGACAATGGTAAAGTAAAGTGGGCTGGGGCGGGACAATGTCACGCTAAGGTGATGCTGAGAAGGTGAAGTTGATCATGCTGCGCGATGAACCCCGCAGACCTGAGCTCGATTACTGGCCACAGCTAAGCATCAGTCAGTGACGAGTGATGTCTGAACCGGTCACTCCGCTTCATGAACCTGCAGTGACCAGCATGGTGAAATATGGTCAAATAACCCCCCCCCCATCAAATGATTAATTTAATGAATGGTTGTTTCTATGGAACCTTTTTTTTCCATCATAATGTCTGTTTCTGAATGAATCTTGGTGGTATACAGGACCGTAAATTAATTCCCCCATTCGTTCGGCTGGCTGTAGCTATTGAGTGTGCAGGCCGTGCATCTGTACCTGCACCTACGGGTCAAGTTCAACTTTGTTTGTTTGTTTGACTGAGTGAGAGAGCAGGATGAGTCCCATTGGTATTGAGTGACCTGGGTCACCACGATGGCAAAAAAATAATTTAAAAAAAAACAATTTAAAAAATAATTGCAGCAATGAAGTCAATAGAAATCGGAGCCAAAAAAAATACCAAAAATTATAGTCAAATGGGTTAGAAGGTTTCAGGTTCTGGGCTACTAAGAGAGAGGGGTAATTGGACAAGGGGTGGGATCCCCATTTCATTACATGCGCCACAGTCCATGCTTCTAAACACGTAGCTACGCCACTGCATTTGTCTACGCCAACCAATCACCATCATCATGAGGCACTTTGACAATTGTAATTGCTGATGAGTTTTAAAAGCATGAAGTATATATTTTAGCTGCTCTCTACGTACGGGTGGGACAAGGCATCGATCCATCGATTAATATTGATCCTTAAGCTCACGATGCATGCACTGAATTAATTTGCGTGTGAGTCAATTTTTGTATCATTATTATTGTTGTATAGGTTATGGGTGCTGGGCTACGAAGACAGGGAATTAGACAGAAGGCCTCATTTCATTACTTGCAGGGGAACCATTTCAACCTCACCATACCAACCTCACCATGCCACTCTCACCATGCCAGCCTCACCATGCCATACTCACCATGCCAGCCTCACCATACCACCCTCACCAAGCCACACACACCATGCCACCCTCACCATGCCAACCTCACCATGCCACTCTCACCATGCCAGCCTCACCATGCCACCCTCATCATGCCAACCTCACCATGCCACACACACCATGGCAGCCTTACCATACCACCCTGACCATGCCACCCTCACCATGCCAACCTCACCATGTCAACCTCACCATGCCACTCTCACCATGCCACCCTCACCATGCCACACACACCATACCAACCTAACCATTCCAACCTCACCATGCCACACATACCATGTCAGCCTTACCATACCACCCTGACCATGCCACACACACCATGCCTCCCTCATCATGCCAACCTCACCATGCCATCCTCACCATTCCACTCTCACCATGCCAGCCTTACCATGCCACCCTGACCATGCCACCCTCACCATGCCAACCTCACCATGCCACTCTCACCATTCCAGCCTCACCATGCCAACCTCACCATGCCAACCTCACCATGCCAACCTCACCATGCCAGCCTCACCATGCCAACCTCACCATGCCAACCTCACCATGCCAACCTCACCATGCCACACACACCATGCCAGCCTTACCATAGCACCTTGACCATGCCACCCTCACCATGCCAACCTCACCATGCCAACCTCACCATGCCACACACACCATGCCAGCCTTACCATAGCACCCTGACCATGCCACCCTCACCATGCCAACCTCACCATGCCGCCCTGACCATGCCACCCTCACCATGTGAACCTCACCATGCCACTCTCACCATGCCAGCCTAGATATCTTACTTGTCGGTAGTACCTGAGGCTGTATAAACTAAACAATTTTTTTTATTTTGCCAAGTAAAGCCCACTGAGCTTTATAGCTCTTTTTCAGAAGTGACCTAGCCATAAATGGTAGCCCAACGAAGTGGCTCATCATCACGTGGAAATGTATAGAAGCCAAATACTCTAAACGCACGTTTGTAAATGTGGAGGGAAAAACCGGAGGACCCGGAGAGAAATCCACGCGACCACGGGGGGAACATGCAAACTCCAAATATACAGGTGTCAGGGTCGGGATCGACCTCCTGTATACCAGGCGAGGTAGTTAACATCTCACCACCGTGCATAACTTGAGCGCTTCAAATTTCTGTGTGGCCAAAAACAATGAATTACGCAATAGCCTTTGGTAAAATGAGTGAGTTCTCAAGTCCAGTGCAGTGCTTCACATTGGTGCTGCCCGTTCAGTGCTTCACATTGGTGCTGCCCGTGCAGTGGGAGCAGGTCGGAGCTCGGCACCGCAGCTGCGGACCTGGGGGAGCCGCTCATGGAGATCCCGGAGATTCGGAGCTACCGGCGCTGCAACCCCGAGCTCACACGTACGTGCGCATTGCGCGTGTGTACGTATGTATGTGCGCGTGTGTGTGTGTGTGTTTTGCGTTTATTTGAGAGAAGCGGTGGTGTAGCGGTTAGTGCGCTGCGCTTCAGATCCGGATTCCCGCTCACGGCCAACACGAGTGACGATTAAATGAACTGGTACTGGGCCTCCCCGAGGTCGACTCAACCTCAAATGAGTACCTGGTGCAATGTGTAAACATCGCCACTCGGGAGACAAAGGTGGCCGGGCGTGGTGGTGCTGGCCGCCCACCTCCTCGTGTGCCACAGTGCCAGCCTTCATAGGTGCTATTCGCTAACAGCACTTGCCCCAACAGTCTGTTAAGGCTATACGGGGGATCTTTGTCTGCTCTACCAAATGCCCCTTTGCCCCCCCCCCCCACCCAAGTTCACTCTCCTCTTCAGCAGTAAATCCCTGCTATGGTGCCCCCCCCCGCCCCCCAGCAACAACTTTACCGAATGAAGTGCCGATCTGGCAAGGCGCGCCGTGGTGGTCAAAAACGTTCCCCACCGAGGTGGCCGCTCACTTGCTCTCACCACCCCGTGCCGTGCCAGCCACAGTAGATGCCATTACGAGGTGGCTCGCAAACCAGGCGTGTAGGAACGTTTATTTTTGCCCCAGCGGGGGGGGGGGGGGGGGGGGGGTCACGGGGTGTTGCAATGAGGACATGCGCAGTGAATATATTTTGTTGGCGGATGAGTAACAAATAAAATGTTTTGAGGAAGGAACCCCGCTGCAGTGGGGAGGTTTTTTTTGGTTTTTAAACACCCCCCTCCCACGCAATGGAATTTTAATGACACAAATTTGAAGCTTGCCGAGTTGCTTTACCTGGCACAACAAATGCCCCGGTCTGTCCAGTCCTTCCAGATATGATGAGCAAGCCAAACTGTGTGCTCACTGATGCCTGTGTGTGTGTGTATTCCGTGTAGTGGGGATCGGTAGTGTAGTGGTTAGCGCGCTGCGCTACGAACCCGGCGACCTGGGTTCGATTCCCGCTCACGGCCAACACCAATGACGTTTATCTGAACCCGCTACTTGGTCTCTTCTAGGTCGACTCAGCCTCAAATTATTCCCTAGTGTGGTGTGTCATAATTGCCACCCACCCCCGCGTGTGCTGTTACCGGCCTTCATATGTGCTGACTAACAGCATTTGGTCCAAAAGTCTCTCAAAGATCTTTGTGTATATCTGTGAGTGGCCCAACAGACTGTGTAGGCTACAACTCGATCTTTGTCGTTGTGCCTGCAGTGGAGCGATGCGGGCTGAGCGAAGCGCTGTCTCAGAAGCTGAGTGGCGTGCTGCTCAAGAGGCCCTGCCTCCACCTGGGCAGCGTGCTGGGAGAAGGTACGGGCGGGGACACGAGAGCCTCGCGTGCGCCACGGGTCAGGGGTCGGCAACCCGCGGCTCTTCAGGGACCGCTCCGTCACGTTATTAATCGTGGACCGCCGGTCTCGTCTTCACGCGCATTGGCGGCTCTTGAAATATTGAGTTTTTTTTTGTTTTACTAAATTCGAAAAAAATGTCAACCCTGGCCATGAGCGTGCCCCCGATACCCTCGTGCGTACGGATGTATGTTGCACTTCTCTGGCACCGTACGTTGGATAACCGTGTTAATCGGAGGTGGGCACGGCTAGGTTGGGAGTCGTGAGCAAAGTAGATGGACGAAATATTCAGACTGCGGAACTGGGCTGGAAGAGGGGGAAATGTTGGGGAGTTTCGAGGCTTCAGAAAACAAGAAGTGAAGACACAAGACAACAACGAGGGAGTCAAGAAAGTAGCCAAGGAAAGGAGACTGCGGTGGTCGGGACAAGAACGGTTCCGGATCTGATTCCAGATGTGTGGCGATGCACGGCAGAACACTGTACGCGATGCCATCGTTATTCACGACGGATACGTTCCAGAGATGCTCGTGAATCGCAAATTTCACGGATTATGTTATTGGCCCACGAAAACCGATCTTGTTAATTAATTACCTTAAATGGATATATAGATGCGCTATCAAATACATGAAAATTATATTGATAACAAAACTATTTAAATTAGTTATAAACATAAAATAAATAACAAATAAATATTAAAGTGTTAAATACTAGTTTATAAATGAATTTACCTTCATCTCATCACTTTATTTTCTTTCTCGCTCGCTCTCTCTCTCTCATGACGCAGCAGTCGTGCAGAGTTCCAGATGCAATTCGCAGCTAACCAAAATCACGGGGTAGCAAGTGTCGTGAATAACGAGGTAAAGCCACACGTGGACTGCGTGGATTGAGGAGTAGAGGCAGGGAATGCATTGGATTGACAGAGTGAAGAGTGATGGAGAACGGGGTGGGGGAGGGGGGGATTGGTGGTGAGCGCAGCCGTGAGATTGTTGTAGGCAGGCGGACGGCGATGGAGGAGGGACGTCCTCCGTCAGGCCGATCGTCTTCTGCTGAACAGACGGACGGAAGCAAATTCACTGCAAATGGGGCGCTGTTGCAGCGACAAGAGGGACCCAGGTTTGCCTGCTAACGTGTGACCACCATAGGTATTTTGAGAGTCCTATTTTTGGCCGTCGGTGAAGCCCAATATTTCCCCACCCGATGCTCCAAAGCAAAACAGGGCGACCCGCTCTGCCTTTGTGTCCGTGCGCCGTAACGTCGCGATAATTTGGGTGACGTGCCGACCCCGTGTGCCCAGGCGAGTTCGGCTGTGTGCTCGAGGGGCGGCTGAAGAAGGACGATGGCACCAAGGTTGAAGTCGCCGTCAAAACCATGAAAGGTGAACACGGAACGACTCCCCGAAGGTTCCCGAGCACCTGCTGCGGCTTTGACCCCGACACTGCGTTGACCCCGGGATTTGACCCAGGGGCCATTCCCGGGATTCGGCCATCCGTGTTCTGGTGCCGGCAATTGATTTGAACTGTGAGAGTTGAACGGTTTTGAAAACAGATCTTATAGGCTGACTGACAGATATACATCTGGGTTTGGTTTAGAGTGGAAATGGTGGAGGCACTGTGCTTCCAGGCGGTGGTCGCTCAGAGCTAAGGCTGCCAAACGACCCCATTTCAGAAAGATTGTCCACGAGCTTTTGTCAAAATCTGGATTAGAAGATCGCAACTCTTCAGCCAACCGTCTTTCATCAGAAAGCAGTTAACTTCCGAAGACATCGAAATGTCACGGAGATAGACAGTCTGTCCCTGGTAAGGGAGTGCGTGAGCGAATGAGAGGGTGAGCGAGCATTATGCGAGTTACGTGTGCGTAAGGTGAGCGAGTGAGCAAGGCCGCACGTGAGAAAACGTGTGAGCGAGCGAATGAGTTGGCGAGCGTGCGACTGAATGTGTGTTTAGTGAGATTGATTGTGGTTGAGTGTGCTCTCAGCGAGGGAATGAGCGCATGAGCGAGTGAGTGAATGAGTGTGCGAGGGAATGAGTGTGTGAGCGAGTGAGCGAATGTGTGCGTGAGTGAGCGAGTGAAAGTGCGTGCGTCAATGAGCGGGTGGGTGGGTGGGTGCGTGCGACAGTGAGTGCGGGGCTTCATTTAATCTTGTTCCTCTGCCTGCAGTAGAGGTTTGCACTTCAAGTGACATCGAGTCGTTCCTGAATGAAGTGCTGGCGATGAAGGACTTCGACCATCCCAACGTCATCCGCCTCCTCGGTGAGTTGAGAGCGGCGAGCGAAGCTCCATTGGGAAGACTTCCCTCGCCCTGCCTTATGGTTTTCCTCCCGGCTTTAGACCCATCGTCACGCGATCCTGACCTTGATATCCTCTCATACGATTATCATCGGACAAAAAAGTTAATCGCACACCTGAACCCTGCCCCCCTCGTCCCCCCCCCTTTTTTCTCTCTCTCTCCCTTCCCCTCTCTCTAAATAGACCCGCCCCCCCCCCCAAACGAATATGCTGCCGTTAGAGCACACAACCTGTTGATCGTCCACACTTCCAATGCACTCTGTCTTGTAACCACTGCACGGATAATGGGGCAAATAATAAGAGTGCATAAAAAAAGATATATGTTATTAATTATATTATTACTGAAATAAATTGTTAATACGCATCTATATAAATAAAAAATATGCAATTTTATTTTTATAATGAAAAATATTAATGAAATTATTAATACTTTAATTACATTATTTTCATAAATTTAGTATTACACTCGCTTCATTCAAGTTATTCATACGTGATCTGAAATTTATTGCACAATCATTAATAATTTATAAGCATGATAATTGATTACTTATCCAGGAATGCCACACTGAGACTTACAACACCTCTTTCCAGAAGGGTCCCGCCACATTGGGTTCTTGTCTTGAGATGTTTTCTGCCAATCAACGATGTGTGGGAGGAAACTGGAGCACCTGGAGAAAAAACCCCACATACGTGCGAGGGGGCAACACTCTATCCCCACGGTGATTGGTTCCCTTGCCTTCTCCTGGCGAGCCAGGGTATGGCACCTCCTGGACGCACATGCCCACGGGGTGGAAGGGAGTTTCACAACATCTGTGTGTGCGATGATCCATCAACCCTCACTGCTGCCTGCACACTGTTGGATTATTGTACGGACGTGCGTAGGCACTGCCGCACGAAGAAGGGGAGGCGTCTCGAGCACAGTTGAAGGTGCAACGCAGCGACTTCCTGCTCAAATGAGCATTAAGTCAGTGGTTATCTCCTCTTGGCAGCCCTGAGCCAGTGGTGGAGAAGTCCTCATTCCATCAATGGTGGTTGAATCTATCCATGTGACAACCGCCGTGAACTCCCGCCACAGAGTGGCGGCTCACTCATCAACCCCGAAGGAGGGACGATGGGCTGAATCAACCCCTAACTAGGATGTGAACTCGGCAACCTTCGCTCGAGCTACCACCGTGGGCCAGTTTATATTTTTTTCCCTCCTCCTCGCTCGTTGCACACCAGCGTTGATGCTCGTGTTATTTTTGAACACCGCGTTCGGCCCGCAGTCTCCTCCTACTCCTCCCCGCCGAGTGAGTAAATTCTCTCCGAGGCCTCCCCCCTTCCTTTGCTCCGGTCGCCTCGGCGGAGACGGCACGTCGCCGCGCGGGAGGTGACGTGCAGGAAAAAAATGACGATGGGGGAGCGGGCGCAAGCCCGAACAACGCACGAGCGAGGCGCGGCGACAGGCCTCAGCGTGTTGTTTTTTTTTAATGAAAAACAGGAGCTCGTGCAGGCTGTGCCTCAAGGCTAGCGGGTGAGGTATGTTGCCAATTATTAGAAAACGGGTTTTAACTGATAGCATCTACACACAGGGGCAGGGCAGATCGTTGGGGTGACCCTTCCCTTCCAACCGGTTCCTGGAATGAAATGCGCCGGACAATGTGTGGAAATCAGCGAATGTGACTTTTGCACTCGGGCTCACCTCCACTGTGTGTTAAGAGATTTTGCGTTACAAAAGAAAAAAATTCCACTGTAAGACTTTTTTTTTTAGCCGCGCCGTTTTTCTTTTTTTGGTGCATGCTTTCATTTTTAAGGTTTACAAGTTAAGATTTGGAATTCCACATTCCTATGGCGGAGGAGGCAGAGTGTTCTCCATAGGACAACCACTGGAGAAAATGTCCCACAGAGCGGTAACCCGCTTAAACGACCCGAGAGGGAGGGATGATGGGCTGGGGGTCGACCCACAGCAACGATTTGTTTTACGAAGGGCGGCAAAAAGTAGAGCCGCCCTCACTCAATCCTCATCTTGATATCTTCGCGCGCGAGCCGGGGTCGCGTGACCCGCGAAACATGCGCGACGCTCACAACGACAACGCTCGTACACTGCATCCAAATGGGCACGCGCAGAGATGCACGTGCATCTCTTGAAGTCTCACCCTCTTCTCCATTGCCCGTTCTCTTCCCCCCACCCCTCCACACCTTCCCGTCCCTCCCCCATAGCCCTTTCATGGACCCCTATAAACCCCTCTATCACGGTCTCTCATTCCTGAGCCTTTCAACTCCCCTGCCATCTAAATCATTCTATTATCTTACCGTTTTGAATAGAAAAAAAAGATGCATACAAGGCTTGTATAGGTGCAGCTTGACATCTTGTTGCCTAGGAAACGGTAGCGACCACGTGCCCCCAGTCCCACCTCCCACACCTCTGTGTGGAAAAACAAATGCTGCAAAATCACGCGTTTTGAACGGGCAAACTCGCAGAGCATTTTCAACAACTTTGTGGGTCTCACACCCCCCCCCCTCGCAGGCGTCTGCCTGGATGTGTGCCCCGGCCAGCGGCTGCCCCGTCCCATGGCCGTGCTGCCCTTCATGAGACACGGGGACCTGCACAGCTTCCTCAAGCGCACGCGCTTCACGCGCACGCCCGTGGTAACGCCGCAGTTAAAAGCCGCCATTGATAATAAACAAACAAAAATATTATAAAAATGAAAAATATTGAAAAAAACAATTGCGCGGTGGCCAGCCGGCTCGGAGGTCGGAGTGCCGAGCTGCCACCACTGAGGGTCCTGGGTTCGAATCAAGGCAGGTGCATGTGATTAAAACTACGTACGGTGCGAAAGAAGTTTAACATACATAGATAATGGGGGTCCTCGAGTGTAGTGAGTCGATGGCATCTCAGCCCGTTCACCAATAACTGCACACACACAAAAAAAGCATTACATTTGGTTCTGCACTTAATTTGGCTAAATTCCCACTCTGTGATTTCAAGCATAGGTTTGGCTGTCGTGCGACGAGCCTCGTCACATGTGGGAGGGTGCTGCTCTCGCCCCTGTGTGGACCAGCGGTCACCTGAAGGGATCTTTGATAATGCATATGTTCGTGTGGAAATCATATTGGCCATGGTAATGGACTGAGAGATCATGTGTGTGCGCGAACACTTGGTGGATTTGCGTGTAGTGGTTAGCGCATTGCTGTGCTAAAAAACTCCGGCGACCCGAGTTCGAATCCCGCTACAGCCAACATCGGTGACAAATGTTTGAATCGGTCCAAGGCCTCCCTAGGTTGCGCTCAGCCATAAATTTGGTACCTTCTGCGGTGTATAAACATCAGCATTGGGGAGACGTGTTGCTGGCCACCCACCCTAAACTTAAAAGGTGTTCGCTACCAGCACTCGCTCCAAACGTCTCGCTATAGGCTATGTGGGTGATATTTGCCTTTGTGTGCCCGTGTGCGTGCATGCGCGTGCGGAACAGTACATGCCTCTGCAGACCCTGCTACGGTTCATGGTGGACATCTCACGAGGGATGGAGTACCTCTCCGCCAACAACTTCGTCCACCGAGACCTGGCCGCCCGGAACTGCATGTGAGTCCAGGCCCGGCGCACAACTTCACTTCACCGGGCATCGTGGCCATATCGTGCATCGGCAATCGTTTCGTAAAAAAGGGAAAATATATATATTTTGTCGCTTCATGCCGAGCACCGCCGGTCTCGGCCACTGCCCCGTCCACCCCAACTCCCCTGCACTCCCCCGTAGGCTACACGAGGACCTGACCGTGTGCGTCGCCGACTTCGGCCTCACCAAGAAGATCTACAGCGGCGACTACTACCGCCAGGGCCAGATCTCCCGGATGCCCGTCAAGTGGCTCGCGCCCGAGTGCATGGCCGACCGCCTCTACACGGCCAAGAGCGACGTGGTGAGCGATGTGGTGAGGGCGGTAGCGGGACGCGCCAGTCGCCAACCGTAGGTGCTCTCTAATCGTCGTCTCGTCGTTTTGCGACAGTGGGCGTTTGGCGTGACCATGTGGGAGATCGTGACGAGGGGACAGGCGCCGTACCCCGGCGTGGCAAACCACGAGATGTTCGAGTTCTTGGTGACCGGCAAGCGGCTCAAGCAGCCGCCGGAATGCCTGGACGAGCTGTGAGCGCCCCCCCCCCCAACTCCGCACACACTCTATCAATGAACAGCACTCCGGTGTTAGGAAGCCATTGCAGCTCTGCACGTTGACATCATCTAGGGTTTAAAACCCGTTTCTTTTCAACTGCTGTTTGTGTTTAGTTTGTTGGTCCATCCGCCGCACCTCCGCTTAGCACGGTTGGCTACGAAGGAGACATCACAGCGACAGACGCCGCCAATACGAATGAAGAAGAACGGGCCTCTTTCACTGACAGAAGTGGCTGAGATTTGTGCGCGTGTGTGTTCATGTGTCGCCTCTCACCAATCCATTTGACTCACGCCACACGTTTTATAACACGCGTTCCATGCAGTTGCGTATTCAAAACAACATCCTCAGCCGTGTGCTTCACTTCCTTTGCCCAGAGGATCGTCCCTCTTTTTGTCTCCTCTTCCCTTCCCTTTCTTACGATAACATTTTGTAATTTACCACCACTGCCCACCCCCCCCACCCGCTCCCATCCAACCCCCTTCCACAATCGATAGTTAATTGTGTGTAATTACGGTGTAATGATTAGGAGCACACCGAACGGTTCAATATCCCGGAGCGACAGACAATGGAAAAGTTTCTCGAATTCTGCCACCTCTGTCTAAGCGGGTATACCACGGTTAGTCGAGGTTGCGTGTGGTGGGGTAAAGTGTGAGTACTCTCGCCTCTTTTCGAAAACGTGTAGTCAGCGTGGAAGCGCAGTCCACGTACCCTCGAGAGGTCGCTCTCAAGGCCTTCCCGCAGTGGAGGCCCGTCAGCCAGCAGTCGTGCGCGGCGAGCAATTTTGGGGCCGCGCCTTTACCCTTTACATACCTCCGCAGGTTCGCCATCATGAGCGACTGCTGGAGCCTGAAGGCCCGCTCCCGCCCCGCGTTCCCCGCGCTGCGCGAGCGGCTGGAGGAGCTGCTGGCCGAGCTGCCGCCCCTGTCGCGGCGCGAGGACGCCCTGTACGGCAACGTGCCGTCCCACCGTGACGCTCCGCAGCCCAGCGGCGGCGTCGACGGCGGCGGCGGCGGCGGCGACAACGGCAGGGACGACGGCGGTGGTGACAGCCGCTCCGGGGCCGCCGTCGGCACTTACTGCGGCAGCGCCAGCGGCAAAGACGCTCGCGGAGACGACGACGACGCCGCTGCCGCTGCCGTCGACGAAAGGAGCAATGACTATACAGACTCGCTTCCCTCCAAGGCGGCCGCCGCCGCCACCTCCTCGGTTCCTCCGCCCAAGCCGGCGCGGCTGAACGAGCACGTTGGGTCGCCTGCGCCGGTGGCGACGGCCGAGTGGATTGCGGCGGCACAGGTCGCTGATCTGCCAGCGCCCGCGGTGGCGGCGGTGGTGCCAATGCCGCCGCCAGAATCTCGGGGGGCGGAGGGCGTAGTGACGGCCAGCTCCTCCGAAGGGAGCTCCCTACCGGAGGGGAAGCCGCCCCCCTCTCCCACAATCCCCGCTCTGTTGACAGAGGCTGAGGCTGAGCGGCAGTGATGGCCCAGATGTTGTCAGAACTGAAACGGAACTGAAATTATTCATTGGTCCTTGATGCAATTTTTTTATTACATGTTACCAGGTAAGGCCACCTGAGCTATAACGGCTCTTTTTCAGAAGCGACCTGGCCACAAATGATAGCTCAACGAAGTGGCTTATCACGTGGAAATTTATAGCAGCCATGTACTCAAAAACGCATTTTTCTAAGTGCGCTTAGGGAGGGGAAAAAAAACTGGTGGAGGGAAAAACTGTTGGGACCAGAGAAAACTCCACACGACCACGGCGTCAGGGTCGGGATCGAGCCCACGACCTCCCGTATACCAGGCGAGGTAGTTAACATCTCGCCACAATGCAGCGGATGGACCGCAGAGTTCAAGCGCGACTTGGGAGGTGCGGAGTCAGAGTGAATGTTTTTTTTTTCTACCAACCCTCTGCATTGCACGAGTGACATTACGCCTGATACCCTTCCCCCTTCACGGCACGGTCACCTTTTGACCCTTCTATGGGGTACGTTTCTGCCTAGGGGCCGTCCATAAATGACGTCACGCACCTAGGGGCGGGGGGGGGGGTCAGACATTTGTGACGATGTGTGACGAGGGGGGGGGGGGTTTTGAGAAATGTGACGTCACATCAAAATGCGCAACTTTAAATAATTATAGACAACACGTTCTACTTAATTGAATAGACTTTTCAATCAATGTTTTCTCCTACAACATCAGAGTGCAGCGCCACATTAAATACGCACTACAATGACAATAGTTTAAAGCGGTTTGAAACATGTTTTCTTTTTGGGGGGGTGCAGAGCTTTGTGACGTCATATTTGAGGGGGGGTCTGACTTTTTGTGACGCCGTGTGACGAGGGGGGTTCAAAAATCGTCCAAAATCGCGTGACGTCATTTATGGTCGGCCCTCTACAAGCGGCGTTCAGCCTTAAAAGGCTTCGGCCCTCCACCGCCCGGCAGCTGTGAAGAAATACTCAAGTAAATGTTACGACTTATTCACAGATGGGGGAGGTGAAACATTTATTACGATTTAAGCAAACTGTAGTTTCGAAACAAAGATTCACCCCGTTTGTTGGACGGGGGGCCGGGGAGGGGGGCTGAAATTGCAGTGTGTACTGCTCTCTAGTGGTTGTACGATAATCTCATTTCAGTCATGGAAAAGGTTGTACGCCAAGGCATCATTCGTACCGCAGGTCCCTTCGCGGTGAGAATGGGGCCCTTTCAGTCTGTACGGCACAAACATTAAGCGTTGCGGCTTACAAACGAAGTCTGCTTGATGCCGGGATGGGCGTAAAGCGCAAACTCGAATCTTTCGTGGACTTTTATTTGCGCGTAACAGCTCACTCGCTGAGACATGCCATTGGAGTCGCAAGCTGATGAGAGCTCGAGTCTGGTGACGGACGTATGTTGAACTTCTTTCGCACCGTACGTAGACAGCCGTGATAAATCAGAGGCGTGATGTATTAAGATATTAAGGAATGGAGGCCGCACCTGAACAATCGCTGAAAGGTCAGATCGAGGCAACGCGAGTCTGTTCTCCTACTGCTGCGGGTCACAATCGGAGCGCTCGGAGTGGCGTGGGCCATCAAGTGTGCAGGCGGTGCAACTGCACCGGGGGGCCCACGGCCGGAGTGCCCCAGACGCCGGGCTACGTGGAAATTGTAAAGGGCCCTCCCCCATGTCTATGCTTTGTGCCAACCGCCCCCCCCCCCCATTGCTAAACCACGCTACGCCACTGAGCGGCCAGCCTGTGTTTTGAATGCGCAACTGCAAGGAACGCATCTTATAAAACGAGCGTGCGCGAGTCAATTGAGTCGGTGACAGGCGACAACCACACATCTCAGTCGCTTCTGTCAGTGAGAGAGGCCCGTGCTGTGATGACGACGGTCTTCGACTTCTTGCGTGCGGCTGCTGATGGAAGCTGCAGAGCAACAACTACAATCTCACATTCAGGTGGTCAGGCCGGGTGACAGCGGAGCGTTATCGCCGTGATGTCAACGTTTGTGTGGATCGGGAATTGCGCCCAATCACAACGGTGTTTGGGCGTGATACAATTATAAAGAGTGTGTTTGCCAGGTCAAAACATATTCCACTCAAGTACCCGATTAGTGCGGCTAATGTGCTGGCAGTGATTGATCAAAACAGGAAGGGATGGGTCGTGCCTCACTCTCGTAGGTTCCCCACCCACGTGTCAAGGAGTCAACACCATGCGTGTCAACACCATGCGTGTCAACACCATGCGTGTCAACACCATGCGTGTCAACACCATGCGTGTCAACACCATGCGTGTCAACACCATGCGTGTCAACACAATGCGTGTCAACACAATGCGTGTCAACACAATGCGTGTGGCGTGTCTAGAAGTTTAGCGCGCGCCACGAGGAGTGCCAATCTGCGGGTGCCAGAGCGGTACAATTTATTAGAAATCTGCGGGTGCCGGAGCGATGCAATTGGGTGATTATAAATCTGCGGGTGCCAGAGCGGTACAATTGATTAGAAATCTGCGGATGCCGGAGCGGTACAGTTGGGTGATTAGAAATCTGCGGCGGCCGAATATTGTCGTGAAAGCCGCCTTTCAGAAATGCCGCGTACGTATTTGTATAAACTGTGGCCAAAGCCTTAAATTTAAATTGAACACAAAAAAATAATAAAAACAATTTAAGCGTCGCTATAAAATCATTCCAGTTGGGCCGGTTCGACTCCTCCTCTCGCCATAGTGATGCACAGGCCACGTCTTCAACGTGGCTTGCTCTAGAATGGCTTGCTCCTGTTTACTTTCTGCTTCGTCCACCGTGGCTCTGTCGCCCCAGTTTGACTCCGGTCTGTGGCTCTGGACAGGCCCAAGCAGCAGCAGCAGGCCATCAAGCGCTGGGGGAGGGTACAGGCTGTGAGTGTGAGACTTGCCACTTCACAATAACCGGGACATATCAATCATGGGAAGAATGCCCTCGCTATTTTACCACCGCAACAGCATAGAGCTCGACGTGAACGCTTCGTGTGGAGTGCTGAAATTGTCAATGTTATTACGCAACCGACTAAAGGCGGGACTTTTAATGTCCAAAGGAGACTTCGTAGATGTCCTGCGACAGCCGCTGCCTCAACAAGAGTACAGGTGGCAACCCTAGTTGTGTGAGAGACAGCGGGTAAGCGGTATAGAGTATCTGGCTGCCTACCCACTCATGTACCTGCTTGTCAAACTGCGTGCCAGCATGTCCACCTGCATACCCAACATGCCAAGCTACCCACTCAGGGGCCGTCAATAGACACAAACTGTGTGCGTGTCTCTCTGTGTGCGTGTCTCTCACCATATGTCTCTTTGCGATCTGTGTTCTATCACTTATCTTAAATTTCACACTTAACTTACAATTGAGCAATCTTTGAAATAGCGTAATCAACCAGACCATGCGTTAATTGTGATTTAACCGACTATCTGTGTTGCTTTATATAGTTTCATAATTTTTGCTAAACCCTGTTTGATTTAGTGTGCTCCTCCGCCTCTCTCTGTGTCCCCTGATGTCTGTGTTAATTCTGTACCTGATGATGATTGCTTGTGTTGCAATCCAAACGTCGTATGCTATTATATAATTTTATTTTTCATCATTTCTACGTGACTTTACCGAAAAAACCAAAGAGTAATTCCTGCAGTCACGAAAGCACCTAATCAAGTTCGAAGGTGACAACAGTTGGTGCGATTACTCGCAAATGGAAGAAACAAAAGAACTGTCAATCTCCTTCGGCCTGGGGCTCCATGCAAGATCTCACCTCGTGGAGTTGCAATGATCATGAGAACGGTGAGGAATCAGCCCAGAACTACACGGGAGGATCTTGTCAATGATCTCAAGGCAGCTGGGACCATCGTCACCAAGAAAACAATTGGTAACACACTACGCCGTGAAGGACTGAAATCCTGCAGCACCCGCAAGGTCCCCCTGCTCAAGAAAGCACATATACATGCCCGTCTGAAGTTTGCCAATGAACATCTGAATGATTCAGAGGACAACTGGGTGAAAGTGTTGTGGTCAGATGAGACCAAATTGGAGCTCTTTGGCATCAACACAACTCGCCGTGTTTGGAGGAGGAATGCTGCCTATGACCCCAAGAACACCATCCCCACCGTCAAACATGCAGGTGGAAACTTTATGCTTTGGGGGTGTTTTTCTGCTAAGGGGACAGGACAACTTAACCGCATCAAAGGGACGATGGACGGGGCCATGTACCGTCAAATCTTGGGTGAGAACCTCCTTCCCTCAGCCAGGGCATTGAAAATGGGTCGTGTCTCACTCTCGTAGGTTCTCCACCCAAGAGTCAAGGAGTTCACACAATGCGAGTTCACACAATGCGTGTTAACACAATGCGTGTCTAGAAGTTTAGCGCGTGCCACAAGGAGTGCCAATCTGCGGGTGCCAGAGCATTACAATTGAATAGACATCTACGGGTGCCGGAGCGGTACAGTTGGGTGATTAGAAATCTGCGGCGGCCGAATATTGTCGTGACAGCCGCCTTTCAGAAATGCCGCGTACGTATTTGTATAAAACTGTGGCCAAAGCCTTAAATTTAAATTGAACACAAAAAAATAATAAAAACAATTTAATCGTCGCTATAAAATCAGTCCAGTTGGGCCGGTTCGACTCCTCCTCTCGCCATAGTGATGCACAGGCCACGTCTTCAACGTGGCTTGCTCTAGAATGGCTTGCTCCTGTTTACTTTCTGCTTCGTCCACCGTGGCTCTGTTGCCCCAGTTTGACTCCGGTCTGTGGCTCTGGACAGGCCCAAGCAGCAGTAGCAGGCCATCAAGCGCTGGGGGAGGGTACGAGCTGTGAATGTGAGACTTGCCACTTCACAATAACCGGGACATATCAATCGTGGGAAGAATGCCCTCGCTATTTTACCGCCACAACAGCAGAGAGCTAGACGTGAACGCTTCGTGTGGAGTGCTGAAATTGTCAATGTTATTACGCAACCGACTAAAGCCGGGACTTTTAATGTCCTAAGGAGACTTCGTAGATGTCCTGCGACAGCCGCTGCCTCAACAAGAGTACAGGTGGCAACCCTAGTTGTGTGAGAGACAGCGGGTAAGCGGTATAGAGTATCTGGCTGCCTACCCACTCATGCACCTGCTTGTCAAACTGCGTGCCAGCATGTCCACCTGCATACCCAACATGCCAAGCTACCCACTCAGGGGCCGTCAATAGACACAAACTGCGTGCGTGTCTCTCTGTGTGCGTGTCTCTCACCATATGTCTCTTTGCGATCTGTGTTCTATCACTTATCTTAAATTTCACACTTAACTTACAATTGAGCAATCTTTTAAATAGCGTAATCAACCAGACCATGCGTTAATTGTGATTTAACCGACCATCTGTGTTGCTTTATATAGTTTCATAATTTTTGCTAAACCCTGTTTGAGTGTGCTCCTCCGCCTCTCTCTGTGTCCCCTGATGTCTGTGTTAATTCTGTACCTGATGATGATTGCTTGTGTTGCAATCGAAACGTCGTATGCTATTATATAATTTTATTTTTTATCATTTCTACGTGACTTTACCGAAAAAACCAA